ACGAACAATAATTTTCAGTCAATGGCGTGAGTCTTTAGCACATATTTCAAATTATCGCCTTCCGAACTCTTACGTGTTGAATTTTTTTGTATTCAAAACAGGCCAGATAGGCCACTTTAATATCCATTGTTTGAATCTCTTTCAGTTCACTCACGGCTAAATTCCGCGGTTACCAATGGTTACCGCAAGAGTTCTGTCTGAATTTTAATCTCGACATTTTCAAGATGTAAATTGTTCTCTTTAAGGACCTATTGTCGGTGAAATTGCTCGCATCGAAATATATTGTCTATGAGGTTAGATTTAATATATATCGATGGAAGCCTTTCTCGAAGTATGGTTCCGATTCAGTAACAGAATCGAAATGAACATGCCGCAAACGTTTTAGCGGAATGAAAGTGACCTTATCAATATTTAAAAGACGTGAGCGGCGAGGCGGCCCGCGGCAGGCTGTCAAAAAAAAATTTCTAAAGAAACTTTCATGCAAATTACAGCCCAACGACTTATAATAAAAAATATTCCGTTTGAAATCTAAAGATGACTTGTCAGAATAATTGTCCTGCTTGTCAATTTTGACGAGAAAATTTATTAACCAAATACGCGACTATAGGTTATAAAAGGAATGGACGACGCTGTTAAATTTTTTTTTTTTTTTTCTGAGGCGGGTAAATGATCTGCTACATAATTTCATTTGCGGAACAGAATTTGTCTTTTTGTAAGCGAAATCAGGTCGTTTATTAATAAAAAAAATACTAAAGTACGGTTTTTTCACTCTACTATCACCATCTAACAAAGACCTCACTGGGCGTAAGCGGTCGAATTTTCGACCATTTGACTTAATTATATTCTTAAAGTCCATATACCATTTTTGTGACTTGTATCGCTTAAAAGTACCGCAGCTGGACTTTTAAGTTTAAGTCTAAACTCTCTTACGCAGCTGATCTCTTTTAAACCTCAAACCACCGACAGAAACGTAACGAAAACATTGTATTTCTTGAAGAATTGAATGTGTTTATATTTCAGGGTTATAATAGTCAGAAGACAATCTTTTAAGTCAAAATTCACTAAAAATTTGTTCGTGCGTCGCTTTTTAATCTCAATATTCTCAACAACAATTTTGAGGCACGCAGAACAGCCAAATGAACGACCACAGAGTCACCACTACATTATACACTGTAGGAATAAAATATGCTTTCACTAAAACAACAGAATAAACTGTCTACGCTTGGCTGTGCGTGGCCTTAAATTAATATATCTGCCATGTTTACCAACGGAATCGGCCTTGTGCACATTAGACATATACAAGCCAAAATGACCGGCTGCTTCAAACGACATTAAGACTTCAAGTAGAATTTTAGTCTACTCCATAGAATTAATATCTTAAAGTTTTCAACACCGCAGGAAACATGTTTGTCTTTTCTTTTAAAAAACTCGAGAAAATAAGAATGTTGAATTGAAAATAACGACATTTTGACAGCAATATTCGCTTAAAAAAAAATATATATATATATATATATATATATATATATATATTTCTTTCAGCCTGTGTGCTTTGGATAATTCAGTCTTCTAAAATTTGAGCATGTATCTAGGTTCAGTGTACTTGGCATATAAAACCATCGTTGTTTTTGTAAGCCTTTATCTTGATAAAGACAAGGGGCAATTTTGAGTGCAACTCCTGCAAAATCAACTGGTTGCCTGAGCAAAAGAGGATTTCAAACTGACCAAAAAAATTAACCACGAAACCAGAAGGCCTTGTGATTTCAAAATCTGTCATAGAGCTAGATTTCGGTAATGCAATAACGTAAGTAAACTAAAAGCCTAGAAGCTAGAGCAAATATTAGAACAGTTTTGTTTTGCGGTGAAGAAAAAACAGGCATATTACCTGGTGATGATGTAAGTTCGTCGTTATAAGGTGTGGGAGGAGGTGGCTGAGAATTCCGATTCTTCTTTCCCCACGAAAACACTTTTTTCATTCGTTTCCAGCTACTACTGTAAGCCATAATTGACACTCAACTAGCGCATGCAACCAGCGATCGATCGAAAATCTCCAAACTTGGCGAGAAAGCGGACGATTTTTTTTCTATTTCTTCCCAAAATAGCGGAAGATTTTTCCCTTCAATCAGAATTCACCCCGAAGCGTTCGAATGATCGTTACTTTGGCTGTAGCTTGGGAGAGGGCAAATCCATTTCGATCCTAGGCGACTATTTGCGGTTTTTTTGGATCTTCTATTGTCGCCGTTCAGCTGCCAGTGTCCTAATTATCATTGAAATAAATGCAAGGATGACGATCTGTGAGTTTAGTCAGATGTGACTAGATACTAATAGCTAGATATGCAGATTAACGAGTTTTATCCACCACGTCACTATTAAGCCTTGGCGAGATACGAGCTAATGATAGGTTCCAAGCCCTCAAGCCCTTGAACAGAAAAAATATAAACACTGTATCTATAAATTGTCTTAATTTTTTTTAACCGCGGGGCAACTCAAAATAGAACCTCAATTTTTTTTCGAAAAGCAAGAGAAACATTTTTACTAAAGTTCTAACCCCGATCGTATGTGAAGAAGTAAAAGCAAAAACGAACTAACAAACATATCGGATAACAGACTGCATTGAAATGAGTCTACGGTGACATAAGAAATTACTTAATCCGAAGAAAAATGCCGCCCCAGTTTTCAGAATCGGAGCAGCTACAATTTTCATTCCATTCCTTTATTTTTCCTCCCTTTACTCCTTCCAGTTTTTTTTGTTTTTTTCTTTTGAAGACCGGGGCAAAAATTTATCTTCCTTTGAACGGTTTAGGAAACTTAGAAAGTTGGGAATTTTTGCTCCTATGTTAACCGTTTCGAAAATTTTCGAATCTTGTTTTATTTTATATTCACAAATCCCTCACATGCCAGGCTGAACATTGCAAATAGAATTTATCAAGGTGCTTTTGCTCATTTTCACCTAAAAATGGAGCGATTTACGCCGGTTTTAAAAAGTCTTAATTGAAAAAACGCTTCGCGTCATCGTGTGCAAAGTATTATTTTATTTCATATGCGCATATTTACAATTATGACCTTAAAAATTTATCTTGAAATTTAATTCACACGTATTAAATTGTGGTTTACCTAGCATACAATGGTTTAATTGGGATTTCGTTCTTCAATAGGTTTGCTGACTTATTAAATTCTGTTAAAAGGGTACATAAAATCTTCCTCCATGATTAAAATCCAATTCAAAATGTATGCTAATACCTTTCTGTCCGCATAATCCCTTAGATAAAAAAATTCAAAAAGTATTTCCGAAGCGCTTTTATAACAATTTGTTCCCGTTCTGTTAAAACTACGCGCCGTTATATTTGCAACAATTCAAGTTTGCAAGCTTTGACAAAAAATTATATTAACACAGAAAAAGGCTGATTTCAAGAACCGTTGAAATATTTCACTTTTTCCTTGGCAACTCTTTTATTCAAGCTGTTGAAGACTTTTATGCGACATATTTACTTTTAGCGGCTCATCTAAAGATTCTTTGGGTCATTTGATGGCACTAAAATATTCAAATATTACAGGTGTGTATTATATGCAGAACTGTCAAGTTATAAATACGTACCTAAATGTGAATTTAAAAAAAGAACTTAAATAATTTATCATTTTTTAAGTGATTAGATTGTCCTCGGCAATTATAATTGTGAGGTTTCCGCTCTTCCTAAATAATTAATATGTCACTTGAATCAATGTTTTCAGTAAACATGTTACAACTATCCTGCTAAAGGAGTCACTTGCTTCGGTATCGAGCACCAAATTTTTTCAAGGAAGGTGGACGAAAGAGGCACACAAAATAAGCTATTTGCAAGTAAAATACGAGCATTTTTTCCTTGTGCCAGTCAAATAATCCGACATTACATTACTCTTGCTTCATTTTGCTGATTGGTTTGGTCTCCGCCAATAACATTAAGGCTTTTTTCGATTGCACAACGGCCAATCGAAAAAATAGAAAATAACATCAAGAGCCACTGAGAACTCAAAGCGCGGGAAAGCGCGAGCGACCCAGTCGTGACTGGTTTTAGTTTGCATCTGATTGGTTGAGAGGGTGGCGCAAATTTTCTGGACCAATCACAGAGCGAAGAAAGGCAAAACCATAGCAGTCCCGGATTACTTTAAACATTCAATTATGAAATGCTCAAGAGATCCGAACCAATCGCGGCATGGGTGTTATGTTCTCCCGCGCTCGAGGTTGTATACATGCACGATACTTTCTTACTGGCTCCTAATGATTTACCCTTGGTTCTGACTGGCTATGGTAATTGTTTGGTTTGGTTTCGCGACACTCGTGAAAAACTTACTTTTCGAAACATGATTCATGTGAAAATTCTCAGTGTAATCACTTTACATAAGTCAAAGCCCACTCTATTTTAACCCATTTTTCTGTTTTGTTGGTCAGCAGGAAATTTATAGTTTCAAAGTGGGCAAAATTGTGTCTTAGTCTAAGTTGAAATTATGCTCGATGGTGTTCATTAGAGACCTGGTAAGGAGCCACTGCGGAGGTAATAGGGACAACAATGACAGTTTTGATCTGAGGCCCACTCTACTTTTGCATGAAATGGAGGCTTAATATAACAGTGATGTTCGCGGGCTCAGTACCCTAATTTAGGCTGCCTTGAGAAGTATCATAATTTTCCCGTTCAGTTTTACTGCTCTTAAAGATGATCATAAATCTTCTTCGGAAGTAAATACTCATGACAAAAGTACAGGATAGTCTCTTTTTTATATTACGAGAACGAAAGGTTCAGGTCCTCATTTAGGAGATGTTTATTAGCTACTCCGTTTATATTTTCCCAAAACATTTCAGTGATTGAATCAAAATTCCCTGTGAGTGTTTTTTTAATTTTATTCAAGTGCTAAGCAGCAGTAAAGATCTGTAGACGCCGGCGGAATCAGCTCAAAGTCTTATCGCAAAGAATTAAGAGCAAAATGTCAGTTGAACAAAAACCGCAACTCTATTACAACCCAAATGGCGACGACAAGTCCAGCGTTATAATGTTTAATACTCGATTTGTTGTCTCACGGGAGATTTTTGCATGTTTGAGTCTCTCTACGCCGGTCTTTACCAGACAAGATACGTTCTTTGAACACAAAGCATCGCAATGAAATGGTAAGAACATGATTTTTCTGAGTTCAATCAAAAACTTACGGCATTTAAAGATTCACCATTTATTGGCTTGACAATTTTCATTTACATAATTGTACAGAACAGCCGTGATATCGCACGAAATGCCAGTCCGTTTTAATCCTTGTTTTGCACGCGCGTCATGAAAATCTGAGAATGCATTTGTATCGAGTTAAATTCTAAGTGTTTTGTCAAAAATGGGTTAGTTTGAGTCGCTTCTTACCCATAAAATATCAAAACAATAGCATATTGTTTCAGATAACAGAGTTTGAAATCGCAATCTGCTTTTCGTCTCAAAGCCATTTGCGCGCTTTTTGTTAGTGAAATTATAGGGATTTTAGAAAAGAAGAAATGTCCACTACTGCATTTTAAACCGAATGATGTGAACTACAGTTTTTGTGAGAAGCTCAGAGTTAACCAAATGTTCGTGATGTTTACTTGAACAAAATATTTCGTAATGAATTTGTGGCCATTTTAAGTGAAATAGTCATCAGAATATCAAGTTGTATGAATATGTAGTCGCATAAATCCTGAAAAATATACTGGATGAAATGTCTCAATCACTGAGGTCCGTCAAGCTAGGAAGATATTTTCTCTTGGGTTTAATAAATAAGCAAGAAACACTCTTAAGCTGATAATAAAATAATATCGAAGCACCACAATCAGACAGGAAGAAGGTGGATTTTCCATAAGCTTAAAAAAAGCAAAGGAGTCCTTTTTTAAGGCGCCTTCGCTATCGGTTTTCTCATTATTTCTTCTTGGTTCAACATTTTTTCTGATCTGTTTTGCTCATGGAACCATGACGCTGATATCATTGTGACTCGGTAGTTTTGAAAACTTGATTTTGTAGCAAGGCTAGTAAAAATGTTTTTCCCAGTTGATAATATTTTGATAAAAATTTTTTTTTTGTATTTTTAAAAACCAAGCTTTCTGATTCTGGAATGAAAGGAACCAAGAACGCCTACGGAAAATGACAAGGCAAGGATGGCTTTCTGTGCATGTTTGAGAAGTAATCGCCGAGGAGGTTGAAAAGCGAGCACGATTTTATGTCATTAAGAACACTGACAGATTGAGGTGTCTTATATTGAGTGTCGTAAAACCAAAAACCAAAGTAATTACAACGGCCAATCAGAGCCGAGGAAACTGTCACAAAAAGCCAATGAGCATTCAAAGGGTCCAAGCGCGGGAAAACGCGTACGACCAAGTCGCAATTCATAGTAGCTCTACATCTGATTGGTGAGGAGAATGACACAAGCCATTCAGGGCCAATGAAATTATGAACAATAAAAAAATTAAAGAGATCCCGAATAGATTTCGCTCTACAATCATATTATCTTAAGGGCGTGGTTGCGTGGTCAGGTTAAAATCGCTCCATTCAATGAAATGTTTCCTAGGTAATCACGCGTCGATAACGTTATGTCGCCGGATACTGCCACAAAGCTTTGTGCATAAAAAATATTGTAATGGATTAACATTACTATGCCAACATTAGAACTTTTATGTCTCAGCGTAAGCCTTAGCTTACTTGGTCTGCGTCTTAGTTTTAATTTTAAATACCTCTCAAATCTTTATAACGATGTACCACTCTGTACTCCAAAACCTCGACCTATCTCAGACCTCAAAAAGTCAGTCATTTACCTAATGCGGTCGTGCCTTGAGATCTATGAAAGCTTAATTTCTAGAGGTGCAAGGCATCGGATTGCCTTGGAACTCGCTCTATGATTAGTCGCTTCTTCTGCTGCTGCTTGAGACTCCGATAATCTAGTTCCAGTCCGTAAATCATAAGCGTCGAGGTCACCGCCGGATTCAAACGAAAATGTGACCGTTCTGATTCTCCCTACTTGGATTCCGTCAAGCTTATTATTCCGCTTGCTGCTCCGATTTTTTATTTTCACCAGTGAAAACTGATCCTACAGACTATGCTCCGATGCTGTTGGTGAAAGAAACCAGATTTCTCTCTCCGACGTGGTTGAGCTTGGTTTGAATTTTGAAACGCTTATTTTCGTTTTAGCTTAAGCTTTACATCAGCATTGATGTCGAACGTTAGCAAAATTTATCTCTTAAATTCAGCTGGAGTGATACGATTTGGTTATTTCTTTGTCTTCTTCTACATTTGGGTCAAAAAAAACTTTAATATCCAATTGTAATTCCTTTGGAAACCTCACTGGCTTACTTCAGGTTATTAAATACAAAGCGTATTCTCGCAGTTTTTAGACTATAATGAAGAAGCCAAACCCTTTCGGAACTTACCCGACGTTCAGGGTAAGTAAAAAAAACAAAAACATTAAAACTATGTTTTTTCCGCCTATTGGTAAATTTCAGTTCTTTATGATCATTTGACGATCTTCTTGGCTGTCGTTCGCTTTTCAGGTATTCAATTATCTCTTCATAGCAATCTTTGTTGTGGTAAACAACAAAGAAATTGCGGTTCTCGTGGGATTGTTTTTTCAATAAAAACAGCTGGGTTTCTGGAATTCTCTTGGAACTATTCTACAAAATAGTTTATTGAATGGCCGTAAACGTATGTTTTGACGTAACTTGAGGCCATGAGCTCGAGGGAATTTTTACATAAACATGGCTGTCTTCCATTTTAAACTAAGAGAATGGGTTCTATGCTTTTACTTTTATTTCTAATTCATACTGATAACGTGCATCGAAACTGTCACTTTTGTTGGGTAAATTATGAGGATATTTATAATTAGCTGAGATTATCACTGATTAAGCGTGGTAAATCGTACTCAGAGATATGAGGCCACAGCCATACAGAATGATATCGTGCTTGTTTCAACCGCAGCGAGGAAGTTTAAGATGACACAACTAAACGAAAATGATATCAAAAACAAACCGAACGCGTCGTTGGAAATAAAAAAAAAATCGCCCGTGCATAATTATTGAAATAAATAGGATTTGTGACTTCCAAATCGACTGCACGTACAGACCTCCTCGTAGCCTTCGTTTGGTTTCGTCGCAGTGAAATTAATGATCCTTCAAAACAAATTTTAAGTTTTATCGAGATACATCGCGTAGGGATGACGCTACTCACTGCATAATTTCTCACCAGCGAGATCTTTTACAACAACCTCTCTAAACAGTGTATAATATATACACCGCTAATTCTAGACACGAAGTAATACAACGTCGATATCTCAGGGCGGAAAATGTGTTACAGCAGATATATTCAGTGGTAAAATAAATGCCATATTTACTCACCGGCGCCAGGATCAATTTCAGACCATTTAAAGGACGGTTTGTAGCTATTAGCCAAATTCAATCCATTTGATTCAACCGCCATCATTGAGGACATGTGACCGTCATACTTCTCCGATTTCCAGCTAAAAAGTAATGAACCACCGTCATATTTCCGCTGTTTTGGTCCTTCTACGCATGCGTGAGATTCGGCCAGTATGAACCTTGCCCTTGTAACTTTGCACCGGCAGCTGTAGCCAGCCTTCAGACGTTTGTTGTTGTTTTCGTCATACTTCTCCGATTTCCAGCTAAAAACTGATGAGTCACTGGGGCAATATATATAATATATTTCCGCTGTTTTGGTCCTTCTACGCATGCGTGAGATTCGGCGGTTATAAACCTTACTCTTGTAACTTAGCACCGGCAGCTGTAGCCGGCCTTCAGACGTTTGTTGTTGTTTGCTAGGCTCAACTGAAACGAGAGCTTCCGTTCCGTTTCATTGAATACTAATAAATGAGTTGGTTTTCATAGCTTAGTTTTATGCCGATCAGTCTATATGATAGCAACAAAAGTCAACTGCGAATATTGATATTGATATAAGTGTCTGTGAACTATCCTATTTTTTATGAAAATAATAGTTATCCTTGCTTGTTTGTCTCACGATTTAGTCAATTCGAATGGAAATCACGACTTTTCTACTGTATATACTGGGTATACCTCACACTTCTCTCCGGCCCCATCGGTATATGTATCTCTTTACACTAAACGAGTTAGAGATCCATTCTGGAATTTACAAAACTAGTTTTTGAGTAAGTTACAAAACGAGTCGTGAATCCGGCCGAGCGGAAAAAAGAGGTTCTGTAACTTACAGTAAGGACCTAGTAATAATATTTATCATATCAGGGCAAGAGAATATCAACGATTGATATTCTCTTAATCAGGGTAAGTATCTGAATTCAAATAGGGGTAAAATATTGCTATTCAAACAGACTTTTGAAATTAGCTTGCCGTGCAGTGAAATACAGCCCGCCAAACTGACAATTATGACGCTCCTACTATCTGTCAGTCACAGGGTACTTTGCCAATTGTTGATATAAAAGCAGATGGTGAATATCTTAATCTTTCGAAAAGTAAAACGATTTCAATCATTTTTATTATCGAAGTTATTTATTTTCCTTTTTTTTCCTAAATCAAGTCAAAATTGTCGATCTTAGAAAAAAATTAGCTGAAAATTTTACGTGAAAAAAATGGTTATTTCTCCTGACCTTAAAGTTTGATTCAGAAGTGATACGGTTAAGAGAAATTTGATGCTAGTCACTCTTAGAGGTTAAAGGGTTACGCGCGTAGATTCTCCTTTTCGACGCCTCAGGAAATGTATAGAGAACAGTATGGAGAATATGCGTATTGATATTAGGATGTAAATACCAGAACGTGTTCGCACGCAGAACCAGTTTGATTATTTCATGCTGGAACGCTTCCTGTTACATTCTTCGTATCTACTTAAGCTGTAGCGAAATATCAACTAACTTGATAAATAATCAAACACAAGATACAAAAGAGAAGTCAATTTTGAGCAAAGAAACTACGTTCATTGAAAATTATTAAAAACAAAATGCCGAAGCCGAAGTTCGTACACGGGTAGGGTGGTTGACTCAATTTCCGAGCTTTCGCGTTTGTTTACATTAAAAGTCACGTGACACCACACGTGAAAAAGTGAATTCCGAATCTGTCAGAAAATTGATTATTTTATATTTACTTTTGACTGCAATGAGTAACTAATGAAGGCCTTCCATACAAAATATGTTTGTGTTACAGACATTACTTTGTGTTACGACCATCACTTTCTAATTGGACTTCGTCTGGATTTGTTTTGTTTCGTTTTGAATATCTAACATTGTTTAGCGCCCAAAAGGCATCTAGGCTATCTCTAATGTAAACCGGACCTGCGCTTAAGGAAAACATTATCAGTTACAGCCGATAATTGCACCTTTTATCTGGTTATCAGCAAGTAATTTCCTCGTTTATCAAGTATCCGAATTCCAAACTTGAAAAGGAAAGCGATATACCAAGTGATACTCGCTGGAACTCCAAGTTCATGATAACTGAGGGTATTTTGAATCAATCACGCCACGCAAACTGTCTGATAAACTCGTACTTGAAATCATGGTATCTCTATAGCCAATGGAAAGAAAGGAGAGAAATTATACCTAGAAAAATGTTCACATCTCGTGGGCGTTCGTGGAAGTTTTACTTTTTCCTTCCGTTTATATGATCATGATGACATAACTTAGCACTTTACACCGCAAAAATGAAATTAGGCGGCAGAGAGAGCCATTCGGTCAAAAACAGGCGAGATAATTTGACAGGGCTGAAAAATTGCCTGAAGGCTTAGCAATCGCTGTCAACAGACTGAAATAATTACCTCTTAAATTAGCACCTTTTACAAAAAAGTGATTTCTCTTTGTTTGACAGCCGACTTCATTCTAAACGAAAGTTTCCGGCGGAGACTGTTGTCATGGTGATCCGTGCTCGTACGACATCCATGCTCTTCTTCTTCTTCCAGTTTTCCTTCATTTTAATTTGTTCTTCGTTTTCTTTCTTGTTCGTAAAGGGGAAATATGCGAGTGCAGTTTAGGAGCAGGAATTCTACCATTTAGTATTCTTTCTCTAACGAGGCAACGGAGTTCCCACCTCCCCCCCTTGAAAAATGTAAAGTTTACATACCCTAAGGGGGGGGGGATTTAGTCACTTGTATGTTTTACGCTTTATTTTTACCTATCTTTCTGAGAGGGTGGCAAAGGGTTCTTGCGTGACGCGTGATGGCCCCAAAATTTGCAAGGTGACGCGGGATTGAACCCAAATTATTCGCATGACGCGGGACCGGACATCACAACTTGATGCGTGATTTTCTATTTTACAAGTACGTGGCGTGTGATTTACAAGACTTACTTATTAGATTTCCGTGATAATGAACGCTCTTTGACCAAGAGGAAACCAATCATTCAAAGTAAATAGGGTCATAACAAAGATCGATAAACCGTGGCAGCCGTCACACTGTTTTCTGTTCTTTTCCGTCCTTGGCTGACCTTCGCCTGACCTTTGATGTCTTTGATCTTCCTGGGTCCAAACAATCGTAACACAATGTGCATAAGTCAATGTAGTTAACATTTGCACAAGGACTATGATCTTCAGTGTTCTTTTTGTCGACCGCCTGGTTGTCTAGTTTCAACAAGTAAATCGTCTTTATTTGTATAACAAAAAGCAACATGACAAGTGAAACGCAATTCATTCCAGGATAAAATCGTTGCATGCAGTATAATTTTCAATAATACATCCGATAGGTTGAAATTTTACAGTGTTAGTTTAGTGTACCTACTCCTTTTTACATGACGCGTGATTGGTCAAAAAAATTACCCGTGATGCGTGATTTGATAGAGAAATTCAGCGTGATGTGTGATTAAATTAAATTTGCCACCCTTCTCTTACTTACTTATTTTTTTCGTTGTTGTCGAGCGTTTTATTCATGAACCTCGTTGCTCGGAAGATTGGGTGACTACTTCTCACGTCGTCGACAAGAAATAAATTATTACATTAGGACCTCCTTTTTTCCAGGACATGTGAGGAACCTGTGACGACAATACGATCTCTTTAAGGGCCTGTTTACATGGAGGTGGGGGACCCCAGGTAGGTGAGGTAACCCGCCTAGCCGTGGTCGAAAAATAAAACGCGTTTACTTACAATCTTACAACCCCGGGGTGCTGGGGTGAGGTTTCTTCAGGTTGTTGTTGCGCTTGCAATTAAGGAGTTTGAGCAGAGGCGTCCCAAGCTCACATCTCGAAAAAGACGAAAGATTAATTCTCGGACACACATGTATTTATTCATGAAAGCGTCACGCGTTGTGTTACGCGGTGTTTGGTTTCGCTAGAAACCGTTGACCTAATACGTTATACGGAATAGTTTGGAAAACCAAATATGGTCGATTTACGACGCTAAATATTCCGAAATGTGAACATTTTACACTCCTTCTTTGTCCGTTGCGGTTTCTGGTGATTTCTGCCATGAGACGGTTGGGAAATGTACAGAGTTTTAAAACATATATGTTTCGCTTTTGAGCTTTTTGCCATGAACCGCGACCTCGGCTAGGCGGGTCACGCCACCTTGACACGTCTACATGGCAAATTGTCACCCCAGCTGACAGTGTTACCCTCCTTGGCAGACCGGGCAACCCGCCTAGGCGGTTCACCCCACCTATCATGTAAACGCGATCGAAATAAAACAAGAAATTATATGGACAGGCGGATTACCCCACCTAGGCGGGCTACCTCACCTACCTGGGGTCCCCCACATTCATGTAAACAGGCCCTAAAGACGAAGGGAGCAGAGACACAGGTGCGGCGCTTACTTGACAGGGGAGGACTTGACCTAGTTAAAGGCGCCGGAAACCAGACTGACCGAAATCCAATATGCCTCTCTTATGTTCAACATTTACTAAATGGGGTCACAAAATACCATTGTTCTGTTGTCATTTAAAACTGGTCGTTGACGGTTGACAATTTAATACAATTTAGGTAAGAGGCCTGCAGTAACCAACAGCGCTTACGCTGGACACGAAGGAGATGAACGCATCAAAGCTTGTTTACATCGCAGTGTTCTTGCTTCTGGCTGCAAAATTTGGTAAGTATGTTTTCTATCACGCTGTGTTCACCCTATTAAAAACATGGCAGTCTTGTCCCGATTTGGTGTATTCGAGCGTTGCTTATATGATAAAACCTGTAAGCGTAATACTTCGCCTCTCTGCGACAGAGCTGTCCGAAGCGAAAACATTCGTTTCAGCACACAGAGAAGACTTAATAGCGGTAAAGAAATTCTCGGGTTTTCGAAGAATCGCGACAAGACGGTATGAGAAACTTTTGAAGAAACGCGGACGCCATGAAGCGTGAATCAGCAGGGACGATAATACGTAAAAAATAAATATGCGTAGGTTATTACAAAATGTTGACCTCTACTCATTAATGTAATTAATTTGTGGCGTCTTAAAGTGGCCGTTTCGCAGTTTCAACCAGTAAAACTGATGCATTTTTAAACAGAACAGGAGTTAAGCGAACCTGCTTTCTTCCTTTCGTGATGTCGTGTACAGTTATCTGTTCTGTAATCTGGGTGCAGTTACAAGCTGAATTCACTGAAGTCTTACTTGTAATACCACAGTCGCCACTTGTTTATCCTCAGTCATATGAGTAGATTAAAGTGTTTCTTTTTGACCAATTCCAGAAATTTCTTAATCGATAGTGGTCCACATTACTCACTAGGGGGTTTAAAAGTTATCTGATAAGATATTTTGATATAGCGAAATAAAAATTCACTGATCGGATAGTGCCACTTTACTCTCAATTCATTCTCTCAGTAAGCTTTGAGTGTGACTCTTGGAAGAAATATTTTTGTGGTTAGAACTGCGAAACGATCACCCACGCTTCTCTGTTGAAACAATTAGTGTGTTTTAATTTATCACTTGGAGCTTCAAAAGTGTCAAGTTGATATCTTCGTGATGAATTCTTACACGATCGACCACAAACCGCATTCGAGTCATGTTTCCTCTGATTGACGAACTCACTACCCGATAGGCCGTTTAATAAATCGATCATCGGATCGTTGATGTACGTTGTTTTGCCGCTGATGCCTATCGATATCACCGCGCGGAAAAAATTTGTCATTTGAAGATAGGTGTTTGGAAGCGTAGGCAGCGAAAAATCTTGAGTTCGTGTTGGGTCGAGCTCCGAACAGATTAGATGCAATGTCTACTAAGCGCGTTGGTTAACGGGTTCATAAGTCCCAATGTGACAAGTGCCCTGCATAGTACTATCAGGAGTGTGATCAGTATGCTAATTATTTCCAAGAGAGACACTTTGTACTTACATTCGTGCTCTGATGTCAAAATTCAAGGTACAGGCGCGTTGAACCAAAAACATTTAGTGAGAGTCATTAATTTAGTACGGATAACAGGTGATAAATTGAAATCGACATCCGCGAAAAGATGTTCCATTTACTTAAGTTTGAGGTACCGTAAACAATCTATCAATGACGACATTACTGGTCATGTGTCCGGATAACTGTCGGAGCGCGAGATAAATCCTTGGCTGCAATTCCATCCAGGAGCTTTATGCAATTCACAGTCACGCTATGGAAACTTCGAGGATTTTCTCTGGAACTGATAGCCAAGCATCATTCACGTGGTTAGGGTTTTACCGCCCAAAAGTCTGACAGTCCCAAAGCAGCTATCTCGTTATCGTACGTCTGCGCGCCTTCGCGAAATGGCTTTGCGTGTACTTACAAAATGTGTAAAACTCTTATAAATTAATCTCTCGCGTAAATCACTTCTCGCTAATTGCATAACGAGCATAGGATGTTCCAGTTGACCCGGGAAAGTCGTCCAAAAAAAATTCCAAAAACATAATAAAAAAAGGAAAAGGAAAAACAAAGATTAACATTCCTTTAGGGAATTTCGGTGTTGATAACGAGTTGGCCACGTGGAGGAACTTACTTCGCGCGTAACTCTCGCGCGCAATTATGAGAAAATATCGCAAACTCTTAAGCATGTGTTTTCGTTTCGTGCTGAAAGAAAAGGTAAAAATTAAGTTTTGAATTCGGATTAGGCTCTTTTTAAATATCCGTGCCGATCGTGTAGTTTACAGAGTGAAATTTTGAACACATTTTGACCTTCCTACCCCAAACGCCTTGCTTCTGAAAGATTAACGAGGATGTTATCAAATCCTGCTTTAAGGAGCCCCCATGGATTCCCAATCCCTGTCTTTTCTTTATCAAAATCCTATGGAGTCTCATGATGTTTTCTGGCTTTATTATAACCTTTTTACCACAAGGGGTGATCAGTTTTAAACTTTCTCAACAATTTTAATATACCATCTTTGATGTAACACTAAATTCTCTGTGACAACTCACAAAGAAATGCCTCTTCATCATTTGGGAGAATTGACTTTCAGCTCTTAGGAGTGAGAAGGTTAAACCCTCTTAAGGTATCATTATAATCCTTAAGTGACCCAAGGTGGAGAATTACTGAGCTGTAAGATCTTGTAATGTAAGAAGTTAGCTTCCTTGAGGATTAAATCTTGGGAATGTGGACGAAAAAGTTTCGCCGGAAAAAAGGCTCCTATTTGTTTAGGCTTGGAGCAGAAATCTTCATCGTGGATTCTGGAGAGAAATTTAAATGGTAGAAACAATCTCTATTGGCGCTTCTTGATAATCCTGTTTTCCTTTTCTTATTTTCAGTCGGGCAGTTAGAAATGCGCTTTGAATTTAATATCGAAGTCTTGATTTTTTTTCTTTGATTGATTTCTTCCGTGAGGCAAATCACAAACATGATTAAAGGCCATTTTTTGGAAGCCTGATGATCTTTTCCATAAAAAACACCCGTGCATTTGTAGGAATGTGCATACCGATGGCTAATTTGGTGAATTTTCGACAATTTTGGGAGTAAAATATCATGAAAGATTTTTTGCAATTATTTAAAATTTTAACATATGATATATGACTCTACAAAAAATCTGAGAAAAAAAATATGGCGCAAGGTGTCTTGGAAAATTGTGGAATTTCATAGAATTAAGGGTTGTGTCCAAAAGGTAATTTTGGAGAAAAAGTTCTCCAAATCTGAGCCAATTTAATGTTACTCAGAATGGTTTGGCGCATGTACAAAGATAACAGTAATAAAGTTTCTTAGCGCAGTCCGCCTAGTAATACTTTATTTCGACAATTTCATCCTCAAAAAATAAACAAAAAATAAGGTTGAGATCCAATACCTTCTCGTCTCGGACCGTGCCGGAATACACTGCGCTGTGAATTTTCCTCATCATGTGTGGTTTTGGTTTTCTAATTTTCACATTAAAAGAAAAAATCTTCTCCGAGATAATGCTGTAGCAGTGTCATGACACGATGTAGCTACACTAATCAAACTTCGAAAAGCGGCAATATCTTTGACAAAATTCGTCAGAGAATCCATGTTTACTTTCTTTTCTTCGGTCTCCATCTTATGTAAGCCGTTGATACACGGCTGCAGCGGTGAAACGCGAAAGAGCGCGATATCGCCATATTCGTCTTGCAATTTTTTCCGCGAAACTACTTAGAACATGAGACCATACAGATTTGCATCATCCTGGGCAACGACACCTATCATACGTTATTGAAATAATCCTGCATCAGCGAGAGATAGAAAAGCAAAACGAAAGTAGTTCTCGCAGTGAATTTTCTAGGCTGTCTCTTTCTTGAAGAAATTGGCGTCGCTTGGCTTAGAAGTGAAGAGAAGGGATGTGCATCATCAAGAACGTGGTAAGGGCATTTGAAAGTCACAACTTACAATCGATTAAACGTGGCGCGACAGCATAGAATTCATGATTAAGTTGCTCACTCGCTTAGGGTTGTGACGCGTTCCGAAAATTAGAAATATCATCGAAAATTTTTAGAATGAAAATGCTAACGAGAACATATTTGTGTTTTCGTTTCCGGGAAAATATACGCAGTCAGCTGCTGGGCATGTTCAAAATTGTCACGCAATCGCGTGAATGTCACATAAATCCCTCTTTCAAGAGGCGTTAGGTTACGAAATTTAAAATTGTCACGCAATCACGTGAATGTCACATAAGTCTTCCATTTACGGGACGTTAATTGGGTGACCGCTTGATACAGGAGCCACAGAATAGGAAAATATATGGATAAAAACAAAAAAGACACACAAACCATCGTCTGTCATCTACCTTGTACCGTCTATCGTCTTTCATTTACCGCCTATCGTCTACGTTTTAGTACATGCATTACCCGAGTTCCATCCATGGTCCAAAAAGCGCTTTGTATTTCTCTGTTTTTCTTTACCGAATGGTTACTTATGAAATAGATGTGTAAGAAATGTCATCTGATAGAAATATCGGGTAAACCACAAACACCAATAGACCAGGATCGTATTTCTACTTTGCCGCGAGATTCGTCTTTCGAAACAGAACTTCTATCGCATGTATTTCGAAAACGGCACATTTCCCAATCGTCAAATTTTGCGAATAGGCTACTTCAATAATAATCTTTAATTTTTAAGAAGATGAAAGCATTCCGAAAAGGCCGAGTTGGCCTAGGTGGGGGTGAGGGGGTGGAGGGGGGGGAGATTGTGGAAGATGTCACCACCAGATTTACCTGATCCCCCTAAGGCTTTGTAGTATCCCAATGACCCCCCCCTCCCCTGAATTATCCATATTCCCACCTTTATACTCTGTAGGCAACGGCTAATCTCCCTCCTTTTCATCCGACTACCATGTGATCTCCCTCAAAATCCCCCTATCCCCTATCCCCCACCCCCAGGGGACAAATAAATCAAGGTTTACAATCAGTTGATCTTCGTTCTTTCCACTCGGCGGTAGTGAAACGTTAAGTCTACGTAGGAAGACTCCAGGGATGCAGGTTTTGGAAGGATCTTAGGTATCAGTACAAACTGAAATTTCCCAAATTTGTGGCTCGTGTTTACTTCAATCGTTTCCTTTTCTGCATTCTTTCCTCAGGGCAGTCAATCCATTGTTATTCATGTCATCCTTTTGAATCAGATGTAGCCAATTCATCGAATAACTGTGAGACGCATTCAAGAGTCACAGACTGCTCAGAACATTCTGATCTTGGAGAGCATTTTGATTCTTGTTTCACTAAGGTGATTTACAAAAACGGCAAGGCAATTGCCAATATTAAAGAATGCGCTATTTTAAGCGGTTGTGAGGAGCTGGAGCAAATTCTATGCGAGGATAGCGAGGATGGATCGGGAAATCCTTCACCCCAAAATTGTTGGGTTGATTGTTGTCAAGATAACTTTTGTAACACAGATCCCGTCGACAGCCCAGGATACGTTAGACGCAGGCAAGCTGAGAGAACTAAAGATGCATATGTGCGTTCTGGAGGCAATTTTGTTTTGAAGTCAGCGACGTTCGGTCCTATTGTAACAATCACTTTCGTGACTTTTCTTTATGTGTTGATCCTTCGGTGAGGCCTGGTCTGTGTTGAAGTGAAATGTGGATGGAAAGAATGCTACGACAGAGTGTTGACTTCAAAATAGAGGTTTCCTTACTCAGGTTAAAAGTTGTAAACTAAATGGTAATTTCATGAATGAATTCTATAACTTCACGCAGAAAATTACGATTGATGATTCAGTGCGGTGCGCACAGAGATTGTAGGTCACGTGGCCCGCACGCGTGGTCAGTGGCTCGCACGTGAGGTCACGTGGCGTCATGTTATATCGACCCGAAGATTTGACCTGAAGTGGATTGTGAGAACTGTAGACTTTGTATATTCTCTCAGCTGATATAGCTTTATGCGGAATGATAGAACAGCCTTTACAACCGTGTGTATATGGCGTAAGATCAAACACTAACTTTAGTGTTTTTCAAATTAAATGCTTTTATTGGTTTAATTAAAAAGAAGAAGTACGATTTTATAAGAATTTTTGTAATGATCGAGATTACTTTGACGAGCGTTTCATTAAGTGGATCAACTCGCAATAAGTTTAGGGGCGACGTGACTGCTCTTAGAGGCGAAGTCATTCATCTCGGGGGCGACGTGACTGAGGGGGCCGTGGAAGACATGATTTGTTACAATGCAAAGATCGCGGCGGTTGCAAACTTATGGCATGCGCCGATTAAAAAAAATGTAGAACGCGAAGTTTATGGCTGTATCATTTTGTAGTATCAAAGTAAATTTTGCGTGAACACAAATGTGACGGAAATGTTTTTCTTATACTTAATTACTTGGGGGTCATGACGTTTCCCAGAGGGGTTGAGCTATTTTTGACAAAAATATTTATTGCTCATGATAAAACTCGATCCTTAAATGGTGCTAGAAACAAATCGTAATTGTAACTCAATTTAGTTTAAGTTCTAAAATGGTAAATCGTTAGTGCTAAGCTTCAATCGCCCGTGTTGTTGCACTAAACGTCGTTGTAAGACTTCAGTGAAGTGCTAATCTTAAATCGCTGACGTTCTGAGGCAGATCGATAGCACTAAATATCAACTGTGTGCTATTTTAAAATAAACAAAATAAAGCAACCATAACGTCAATCGTCAGCGTTGTCACCGATCGTACGTAATAAGTAAAAATCGCTACTGCAGAACGTCTATCGTAATTGATATTATCGATTTGTTCTTGATTCTGCCATCGATTGTATCTATCCCTCCATACGAAGAGGTAAAAATTTTAGTACTGATTTAGATCAATGAAAATCTATAAAGTCGACTTTGGGTAAGGTCTGTCCTCGAACCAAGTCTTCCACCCGGCTGGAACTTATCCTGGTTTCCAGGTCTCTAGAAAGCGACTAGAAGTATTAAGTCGAACCCTCGCTAACTCGACCTCGCGCTAACTCGAACCAAACTAGGTTCCCATGGATTTCCGTCATACATTTTCAGTCATTTTATCCCCGGTAACTCGAACCCTCGAACCCTCATACTGTTTCTTCCCAAGACACATAGGTGATTAACAAAGCCACTTTCCGTGAAAGATTCAACATTTTCTTCCCCGATGCCATCTCCGATTGTTGAGAAATTGTTAGTGAAGATTTTCGCTGTCATGTCTTAACCCTTGAGATTGAGACCGGAGATTTTCGAAGGAGCATTCGAGATTAAGAAAGGCATAAAAGTTCTATAAAGTCTGCAGGGTTTTCCTTGAGAGGATTTGATTTATCCTTCCAGCATGATTTGATTGCCATCCGTCCCTGTCTTTTGGCTCAATTTCGTCATTTACACAGCTACTCTCAGCTGGATTCCTACTTACAATTATGAAAACTCGCAAAATTAGTATCAAACGCATTTTTCTTTCTTTAGCGTATGCTACGCTCAATAATCTCTGGAGTGAGTGACGAACGATCGGGTCAACCTCGGGTGAAGTTCGGCATTCTATCGTTATCCTCACTCGATCTTACCCTCTTACATACTGGCCTTGCCTCCTTATAGAGGAGGAAGTAGCAACTCTAAAGCGAAAAATCTCGAGGGTCTTTAGGTTTTTAAGTATTTTAAGTTCTATCCTTAAGGGCTTTTTTTCGGAATGAACAGCTCTGGCTTTTCTTTACGAACAAACGAGCGTCAAAAGAGATTGAACTTGATGAAACGCCCATGAAAGGGGAAACAACCGACATTACTGACTTACAGGTCGTGCGTGGAGAACTGCGCGCTGTGGCCTTTCTTTCATCAATTGTGGCTGAAGAAAGATTAATTGTTTAACTTTTAGACTTAAATCTGCAATATATTGCCAGCTGAGAGCAAAGTGACTTTTTGAAAAAGCACTCATGATTTGTCCCTCCCGCCGACAAGACAAAATAAAGTCGAGGACCCACCCTCCCTACGGTGCTCTTTGCCCCGGGTAGACACGTGACCGCCCGCAACCAGGATCCTTTCTCGAGGGAGGAGGAAAGTAAACTCTGGGGACGAGGTTGTTTGAACAGCTGAAAAGCAAGAGCTTCAGTGTTTACAGAAGATAAAGATAGCTGTGCTAACTGATTAACAACACACGTCAAAAATGCGCCAGTATCATGCAAAAATGACACACAAAGATAAAACGAAAACTCAGAACTTAGAAAAACAAGACCATGATTCTGTTCTCATTTTCTCTTAATTCTTCTGTGTTAACCCCCTTTCCCATGGGAACGTGGTCGACAACGTGACGTCATTTACGTGACGTCTTGTCCTGTGATTCCATTGAGTGGCTTCCAAGACGTGATTAGATCAGCTACAGTGGTAAATAAGACGAAAATCTGAGGTACATTATTAAGCTCTTGTTTACTTTTAAATCCAGTATTAATTCATGTGAACTCAAGTGGAACAATTTGCTGTCTTACACATATCAATGATACGGTTTCATTACCAAGACGAGCGAGAAAATTTAAAATGCGCATTTGAAATTTGCACACAAAGTCTAAAGAGGGACAGTTTTGTTTCCGTTCAGTTTTGAAAGAAAACAAAGACATCAAGTTACCATCGTAAGCAAAGAAAAAAAAAGTTTTCACCTAATTGTTTTAGACAAATTGTTGAAATACCGGAGAGCAATTTACGTGAGGGATGAAAAAATTTTATTAACAATTACATTGCCTTGGGATAGTTCCGCCTGAATTCTTCTGAACAATTAGACAATTCAATGACCTATACAACACTAGCTTGACGTTGCGCTTTGATGTAAAGCGCTACCTGTTAGAGGACAACACGAGATTAACACTCTAACAAAAAGTTTGGATTAACTGATGACACCACGACATTTACCGTGACCGCTCAAGAACAAGCAGGAGAAATCTCGATTGTGAGTTGTTTTCAGGGTCAAATATGAGTGCTCAATTGGGGAGAGAGAGATCGAGAAGTCTAAAATCTGCGGTGCTGAGTGGAAGTTTCGAGCGTAAAATGCGAGCCGAGACCTTAAACGCACAAGAAAATGCACGACTCGAAAAACAGCAGCGCGATATCGATCTGTTTAAGAACAACACAGAGAAAATACACATGGCGGAAAAAAACAAGGTGCAATCACGAATGCAAAGTTTGCGGAAAATTGTTCTTAGCAGAACACAATCGAGTGAGAGTACGTCATCTTCGACAGTCAGCTCCAAGATGTATGGTGAATGTGTTCGCTTTCCGAGGCTTCCAAACTCGACAGATACTAACGGGAAATTGTCAATAGAAACCTGTACGGAAAATTATCGATCTGCTCCTGAGTTGCATTTGGTCTGTGAAGAAAATGGAAAAGTAGCGACTCATCTTCCCTCAATAAAAGATGCTATCAGTGCAGGCGCTCGAGCTAAGCGAAGGACTCTTGTCACGGTGGACAATGAAAGTTTGAATATAATTGCTGACCGTAGACGAAGCAGAACTCAGTCACATAGTGTAGTGGAAGATTTAAAACTTCCATCAAACAGGGTCGCTCTTAAATCAACAGTACAAGATTGTTACGGGACACCCTTAGCTAGCCGCAGAGATCTCATAGCGGTAAATTCTTTCCAGCCAAAAGAACTTAGCAACTTGAATTCGCGGAGGCGAAGTCTTAGTACGGGTGATATGACATTAACGGAGAGAGTCAACTCGTTTTTGGAAAGTATCGAAACTTCTCCCCTTGTTGATCAATCGAGGGGTAGTTGTAGTAGCTCTTGTTCAGATGATGAAAATGACGCTATTTAAAATATGAAATCACTGGAGTAAAGTATAAATTATGGACTTTTTTTCCTCATCGATTTACATGAATTGTTCAATTGCGTAGCATGTATGCATCGGAAACCGAAGTATAGTAGTGAATTTCAACAGTCCGTTCGTCTGAGTTTCCAATCACTTTAAACATTAGAATCTATAGCTGTCAAATAAAATACTTCTCATGGTATCAAAGCTCTATTTTTGTGGTAATATATATTGTTCTTTTTTTTATTATTGTTATGAAAACGGTATTTCTACAGGTTTAACCTTCGTATAGAAGCAGAGAGGAATAACTGACAATACTGCAATGCTAAGAACCGGTGGAAATACATTTGGCAGAATCTTGCTTATCTGTTTCTTATCTCTCCGAAAAATATCTAACGGAAATTATTTGAATTTAAATGAAGACCTAAGAAAAAGCAACAATAACCAAATGTAAGCATGTCATATAAAACAGTGGAAATGAAGAAATTTGCAAAATCTTCTCCAAACACGATTTCAAACAGTAAAAAAGCTAAATGTTTTTAACCTTTTTAGACTAACAGTCCTAAAAAAACAGCAGGGCCATTTTAGTATCGCGTGTCGACGACACAATGAGGTGTTAAGATTCTACTGAAATCAATTTCAAAGCAGCGCGTGTTTACAAAGGATTATCTTTCTACGTTAGAGCAACATAAGTGTCTGCAACTAATCCTTCGCGTCTTTTCGCTGTTTTCGGGGCTATATCAAATCTCAGACTTCTTGATTTTTTATTTTGCTTGTTTAATTTCTTTCCTTTCTTTGGAACTTTAAAAATTGTTTGGGAAGCTCGGATGCGGTTGCAGAGAGCGAAAATCCCTAGAACGCTTTTCCTTATCTAAAGTTCCTGTGGTCATGTATAACTTGTTCAATGGCATAATATACTTAAGTAATAGACCGCCCTTTCTATCGGTTTATCGGGGAAATAACCCACTCAGGATATTGGGAGAACATGAGACAAGTTTGAAAATCGCGAACCGGATGCGAGTGAGTTATAATCAATTCGGGTGTTCTCACAACAACGCAAATGGTAATACCGGTAAACCGATAGAAAGTGCTGTCTTTTGTTTTAACAAAATAAATCATGGCTTTACTACTGCAATAAATTATAGCTTATTGACAAATAAGGGCGCTTGTAATCTCACAATTATTTTATGTACTTATATAACATTTTCAAATGACGTCACTCTTGGCTTATCCAACACTTCATTTCCTACGCATTAACATGTCAATCACTTTACGTCGGTGAGATATTTCTTTCGGCGGATGTTTCCTTTAATTGTAACATGAGTAAGACTTTAGTTTGAGTAAAGTATTTCAAGAGAGTTTTCATTGGTTAATGGATAGCAAAGCTAAGATGTCTGATCTTCAATTTTTAATAAGAATCGTTAAGTTGTATCCGTTGAAAACGACACGAAGTCATATTAAGTATGCTTTAATTGTAATTCGGATATAAATGTTTATTAGTTCCATATATAACATTAAGTGAAGGCGTCTGTTAGTCTCGTGTCGCAAAAAAATTGATATGACTTAGAGAAACACAAGAAAATAACAAAAGCAGCAGGAGCCCATTACTTGGAGCCTTCAACTTCTATGCTGACCCTTGTCACGGCATTTTCACAGAACAGTTTATTTTTAGACTATCTTTTTGCGGAATGTAGGCTACTCGAGCTCACTTAGGTAATACGATCCATGAAACGCGAAGAAAAAAAAAGGCGGCCTTATGCGGGGACGTCTTCCTATCAAAAGTACGCAAATTCCGCCTTTCTTTTGCTTTTATTCCAGTATTCCAATCCTTCCTTTCCTAACATATCCCACTATCCTTTGCAAATTTTTTGACACTTGCGAAAAAAGATTAGCAGGAGTGCGGATTATATCGTTGTATTTTATTTATTATTATTTTTTTTAATTTTCGTGTGTATCAAAGGTTACCCGTCCTCTGATTCTGGCCCCTCTAAGGAAAATTTCATGAAAAGAGTCCAAATTCAAGACGATGAAGAGGCGAAATGCCAGCGATGATGGAGAGCGCGGAAACAAGCAATTGCGTGAGCAAGCTGTGTGCGAGTCGTCTTCATCTCAAGAATCTTCATCCACACCGTCCGTAAAGGACATGGGCTCCTGAAGCAGTCAATGAGAACTCAAAGTTAAAACTAGGATATTATCGAAAGTGTTAGAGCAGTTGTCAATTGACTGTCGAAAAGCCAAAACCAAAGAAAATCCAACGACCAATCGGAACATAGGTTTACATAATCATTAGCCAATGAGAACTCAAAGCTGCTTGAAGCGCGGGAAAACTTGGGAAAACGCGGATGATCATGTCGCGACTGTTCTTAGTTTTGCATTTGATTGATTGACAGGAAGGCGCTAGTTGTCTGGACCAATCACAGAGTAAAGTTAAGTATAATTAAAAGCTAGAGCCATCCGGGTTACTTCGTCGCTCTTACGAGGGGCTAACGCTCGAAACGTAAGCTGTAGAAACTCTTTACGTTGGCCAATTTACATTATCAACTCAGTTGACTAAACAAAATTAAATTCTGGGCTAGTACCTCTTCCCTTTGCTCCTCACCCAACGGCGTGTTCCCTGACTGGCGCATGGCCACTCTTGAGCCTTTATGTAGGCATGATCAGCGGTGATACACGCATGACAATTAAGAGCTTTTAAAACAAAATGGCGGCTGCAGTTGAAATGAGAACATGTGGATCATGTTGTCTTCAGTTGAAGGAACTCGTGAACAGCTACGAAAAAGAGCTTGGATTAAAAGGCAAAGAGTTTGATGGCACTAAAAGTGAGTATTAATTGAAGTGGCGATCAACGAAAACGTCTAAAATCAGAGGGCTAACAAGAACCATAACGATCGATATGATGTTTCGAGGATTGTTTGGGAATACTTTGACGCGTCGTCCCTTGTTTTTCTTTTTTGTTGCTCCAATGATGAAATACTTAGCACTTAGCACTGAGGTGTAGGATTGTCTTCCAAATATTTTTCTTGTAAACATTAAGATGGATCAGTACAATAATTACTTCCCGGAAGTAAACATTACTGGTCCACCACCATTGATTTGCGGAACTCCGATCCGCAGAACCCTTCAACTCACATTTTCGTCCTTATTTTTTGTCCCTTTGATTTTTGTACAGATCGTACAAAATTTACGTCAGATTGTTCCTCTTATACATAAAGAGATTGATGGATGTATTGATATAGACAGATGGATTGATTGTGGAACAATTATAAAATGCGAGAGCGATCAGAACAGTGTAAAGTGTGTAATAGCAGTGGCGTGCTTTGAACCTTGAACCCCTGACAGAGACAGACATATAATTTCTCCCTACAATATCACCCCAGAATCAAACATTAAGGTAACGGGAATAGAGGAAAAGATCACCAACTAAAGAAGCTCTTGATTGTTAAGCAAATTCTCCTTGTCAGCACCTTAGGAAATGTAAGGAGAACAGTATAGAGAATATGCATACTGATGGTAGGGTGGATTTCTAGGCTCAGGTTAGGCTCAAGACATTTTTTTGTAAATAAGGCAAAGTGTTTCTTTTTGAAAACACTTTGTTGTCTTTCAGTTCATGCCTTTGGATCACTAAACTTTTACTTGGAGCACAGTAAGTTTAATGACTTACTGAACAGTATTAGATCAAAGTGTAAGAGCTGCACAAGTTGGCCTGATCCTGCCAAAGCCATTCGAGCTTCTCAGGTAAGTCGTCCTAAATTTCACTTTATTATTAGTAAGATATGTCTTTATTATCTTTAGTAAGATATGTCTTATTCAGCATTTATGAATGTTTATGACAGCCCCATAATCAAGATTTAAATCACTACACTTATCATTGTCATACAAGACACAGCTGCTTAATGACTTGCCCCTCAGACTCTTGGTTGGGAAATCCTTGTGCAAGACATGGCTGGGACATTGCATTGTGTTCTTTCACACAGGATACTTTAAATTTACTCTCATGCCTCTGTCTGCCCAGGTTCCCATTTAAACCAGCTTTAAGCTTAACTGGGCTAGCCTGTTTAAATCTGGCCAACAAACAGATAAATAAATAAATGTCAAAATAGAAGTGGGGTTAGCAATTTTCTTCTTCCTTTGGTATCATGGAGACCACTGTAAGCTCCATTCCCTTGTAAGCAGTCGCAGCTTACTTACAACCTCTCGCATTGCGGTTAGCACATTTTACTCCAGATCATGATATCCTGTTGTAAGCATCAGTCAGCTCACTACATTATGTTCGTGGGCAATAGACTTTACTCTCAAAGAGTCTCTCTCCATTTAGGAGTAGAAAAAGGAAATATATAGATTTAGGCAAGCCTAAAAGCGGAGCTCGCAATTTTTTTTTTCCGCACTTCTCTTCAACAAAACTAAAGCCCCTACTATGGATAAAGTGCGTGGTAATATTAATGGATTTTCATTTGAAACTTCTCCATGTCCGTGTAGAGGACTGATTATAAGATAGTGCCTGTGGTACAGTTGGCTGTGCTTGCTAAAAGTAGCACCTTGTATGGTCGGTCACACAGTTGTACATCCAAATTTTTTCAGCTTGATAGGTTACCGTATTTACCCGCAGATAGGCCGCACCCGCGTATTGGCCGCACCCCAAACTTTCAATGGTTTTCATGGGAAAAAAAAAATTGTTGAGGTCAAGTACCAGGATAAATAAAGCAAAGTTTGAAATCAACAACAGCTGATGTGTATCAAGTCAAGTTTATTTTTGCAATAATTCCTACACGAACGTGAAAATGTTCAAACTAGAAACTGAAACGCCTATTCGCTAACATTTTATATACAAAATAATCTTAATTAAAGATAATTTTTTCGAACAAGTTTCTGTCCTTATATGTACAAACACGAGTAAAGTGAAGCATAACCCTTGTAAACACGTTCGCCAAAATCATAAACAAGTTGTAATCTGTTAACAACTATTAAAATATTTACATGAAACTAATATACATTCCGTGATGAACTTTTCAATCGATAAAAGCTACACAACAAAGTTTCATTGTTGTCCGATCAAAATTAAAATCCATTGAAATCACCTTCATCAACCAACAGCCTGGCACTCCTGGGACTGTGACAACACTCCAAATTGGTTAAACCTTTAACTGCTATAAGTCACTTGCATCTAATTTCTCTCTACGATATAACCCCTGAGTCACACATTAAGGTCATGAGAATAAAGGAAATGATCACTGACTAAAGTTCTCCTTGTCAGCAAGTTAGGAAATGTGTAGAGAACAGTAAGGAGAATATGCATACTGATGTTAAGGTGTAAAGGGTTTATGCTGCAGAAACTTTGGTGCAAACCAGATCCCTCTGTTACAAAGAATTGAAGTATTTGGTTAACCTCAGTCTCTCTTTTCTCAAACCAGGAAAGACAACAACAAGTTGAAAACCTTGCACCAGTAAAAAATTACATCTCAGAATGTTTAGACAAGTTGCAAAATGCCATGAAAGACAAATCAATAAAGGTTGTTGCACAGAGACTTGAAGCCATCACAAGAAAAGTTGGGTAAGAAACTTTTTGTTCTCAAAGTTCATTGAAATCTGATTCATGGATTTAAAAATAAGGTTCCCTGCTGCAGTATGTCTGTTTAGTAATAGATCACATGTGACATTAAACAGGGGCTGGAACTAAAAGGCACACAAGGGGTGGTGTGGTGTGGTGTGGTGTGGTGGGGTGGGGTGGGGTGGGGTGTGTTCCTGATGTTCTTACCACACTGTGATGTCTTCTGTGATCAATATGCATGTATAATTCAGCCTATCATATAATGTGTCAATTAATTTATTGCCTTACCATGCCCCCCCCCCTCCTCCCAGAGCAACCCACTGGCATTTGACTGTCATCTTTACCTGGGGGGGGGGGGAGGAACTTTGGACCTTGCCTGGAAGGGGTTGGGATATTTGAACTGGCATTTGAACTCAATGTTGGTCTTCGGGAGCAGGAATTGGAATGAACCAGTCTTCAAAAGTTCAAATGCTTGGGAGGTTATCTGGGAAGGAGACATTGAAGTTTTATATTGATTAATGCATGTTATGTAGACTAACATTTCTGATATTACCATGACTTTTTACCAGGTTGAAGTTTATAGAAAGTGGCAGAGAATGCTTCATAAATTCTGACATGTTTTATGTTGAGGTGTGTTTAAAGGGAATGTCTGTTTTATAATACGATGTAACCTACTTAACCCTTTAACTCCCATGAGTGACCAAGACAGAATTTCTCCTCACTTTATCTATAGATTATCATGCAAATAAGTGATGAGAATAAAGAAAAATATCAATTATGGGATTACTAATTGATCCGATGCCAAATTCTCCAAACTAACATAATGAGAATCATTTGGCAGACAGTTAGGAGAATTACTAATGAGATCATGAGAGTTAAAGGGTTATGGTATTTAAGGCTGTGATAGTGTAATAAAATTATCTTCTCTCAGTTATTTGCGCATGTTAATCCTTTCATGCCGAGGAGTGACCTAAAGAAAATTTCTCCTTAAAAGGTTAATACATTTTCCAGTCAAAAGGCAATGAGAAGAAAGGAAAACAAAAATGTGGGGATATTGTTTGATTTTACACTAAATTCTCAAAGCCAAAATTATAAGAAATGTATGAAGTATAGTGTAGAGAATTGATATTTTGATCTTGGGAGTTAAAGAGTCAATTAGGGTGTGGAGAAAATTTTAAAGAGGTTATTGTCAAGAAGAGATTCTATTCCTTGCAGTCAGAAGCCAAATGTGTTTTAGATTATCATATTACTTTTTTTTTTTACCACTTAAAAAAGCCTTTCCTTGTTGATAGACAAAGCTAGGTTATGAAAGTGGTCAAAACTTGCTGAGTAAATCTTTCCTCATGTCTTTGGAAAATGCAGGTTCGAATGGCAGCTGATGGTACAGTTTCAGAAGTGAAAGTGGCACACACTGGAGATCCTGAGGCAAGAGACAGAGGCTTTGTTTGGTTTTTAGTTGAAAATAATTTTGGTCAATTTAAATGATGAAGAAGATTGCTCTCTTTTGTTTGTTTTGACTGGTGTTTAATTCTCAACTTTTTCCACAGAGTTGCCCTGAGCTAACAAGAGTTTTAAGGTAGAAAAATAAGTTCAACTTCTTTAATTTAATGATGTAAATAATAATTGCATAATCAGGCGGAAGGGTTTCAATAAAAGTCAGTAAAAAGCAGTCTTCCTCTGCCTGTAAAACCTCTGACTGCAATCTGGTTCTGGTGTTTCGTTTTCACCTTATGACACAGTGGCCCATTACACTGTTGGCAGCTGCTTATGGAGCCCTTGCTAACACAAAAAATCAAAGATGCTCTGATTCTTCAGTAGATGCTACTAACTTAATGATGATCTTCACTCTGCTAAGTCTGTTATCTTTTTATCTTTATGTATTAGGTATCTTGTTAAAATGTTGTCATCTGCTAATTGGAAGTTTCTTACCTTTTTCATTTTAACCCTTTAACTCCCAGATCAAATTTGTAATTCTCCTTACTCCCAACCATACAATTCTTATAATGTCAGTTCAGAGAATTAAGTATTGGATCAACTAATTATCCCCAAATTTATATATTTCTTTACTCTCATCACTTATCTGGTTGATATTGTGTTGATATTGTAAGGAGAAATTCTGTCTTGGTCACTCATGGGAATTAAAGGATTAATTACCCATGGATCACACATTAAGGTCATAAGAATAAAGGAAATGATCACAAACTAAAGAAGCTCTTGATTGTTAAACAAATTCTCCTTGTCAGCACCTTAGGAAATGTATAGAGAACAGTATGGAGAATATGCATACTGATGTTATGTTTTGAAAGGGTTTACTATTTATTTAACTATTTTGCAGGGAGGGAGATTATAATGAATTTTTGTGCCATTTACAAGGATTATGTGATCTTTATCAGCTCTCTCGTGACACGTGAGTTGTATATACAGTAATTAACATTTTCTCTCTCAAGATCTCACTGCCAATTTTCACCTGCATGTGCTGTCTGCTGCATGTTCCCTTTAAATTTAGCTTTAAAAATAATGTTGAATCATGGTGGTTTTCCTGGGTTAGTTGATATTTTTATTTCCTCTCGTCCCCTTTCTGCTTGACATTGTACTGGAACCTTGAGTTCCATTGAAAATTGCACAGTTATTATTATTATTATTATTATTATTATTATTATTATTTTAATTATTTTAATTGTTTGATTATATCACTCTTCAGATTTCAAAAACCAAAGGTTCTTGCAGCTCTCAAAGCAGTGGAAACCGATATTAATACAATGGCAGCATTCTTTGGGTAATGATTATTTCTTATCACTAATATTAATACAATGGCAGCATTCTTTGGGTAATGATTATTTCTTATCACTAATATTAATACAATGGTAGCATTCTTTGGGTAATGATTATTTCTTATCACTAATAATGGAAGTAGAACCGAATGGATTCTAGTTTAGTCTGTGGTCATTCCAAGCGGATTTCAATTTTTTAGTTACCAGTATGATCACTGGCTGAATTGAGGAAAGAAAAATCCTGTGACCCGTTTATCAAAACTACAACAATACTTTAGAAAGAACATCCGTCATAGAGTTTAATTGTGGAAGGTCATGGAAAATGACTGAAAACGATGTTTATGTGAAAGTAAAAAGGAAAAAAATGCTTTCATTACGTGATCGTCTTCAAGTTATACTAAAATTTTCTTGATTGTTAACAATGCAAAACAACAAAAAGGTCTTGGAAAAAGTCTTGAAACGTCGTGGAATTCAAAGAGGTACAAACGTAAATAATTTAATTTTCGACCCTTAAAAACTTTCAACTAAATTTCCCCCATGCTAACTCTATTTGCCGTTTTTATCTAACAGTACAGATGTGACTTCCACCGAAGCCATCACACAATGTCCTGTCGGCTTTATCACCCCGAGACAAGGAGGTTCGTACAACATTTCGATTCAAGTCTAACCAACTTCTTATCGCAAGTGGTCGAAAAATAGCATGTTTGAGAGATAACTCTGCGCAACACAGTTACAGGAAAACTGCTGGTTGTACTATCAGTTTGAAAGACTCAACACCAACCAGAGTTGGTGTCGAGAACTATCTTGAACGAGATTTGGATGTCTTCGAAACGTTTTCGGCCATTTTCGAATGACATCGGATAAGTATCAACATTTTCGGAACGCACCGGAGTATCTTCGGCAATTTTTCGGTTTTACCAGGGTTTGGGAAATCAGGGAAATATGAAGACGGGAATTATGCTGGAATCTTTTGTTAGAAAGTGCCTTTTAATATTGATACTATGATTCATGAAGGCTACTCGCATGTCTTTCCATAGGCCGTCGAATGCGCCTCTGTTATTTTGCTTCCCCATATGAGTTACTGGATGTCAACAGGCCTGGACAGGATCGACATTTTACAAGAGAAGGTAAAGATAAAATTAGACTACAAGCGCTATTGGTAGCCTTTAAAATATCGAGACGTGTGTGTCCCGCCAGAGGTGTAGTTAACTATGACCTGTGCGTTAATTTTTGCCTTCAGATTTAGTATGGTGACAAAAGTGTTTGTTGAGTGAACACTTTTAAAAGCAAGATGGAAATTTGAGATCATAATGCGAATTTTGGCGAAGCTTTTAATATTGAACCAGAGCGACTCCCAATGACCAATCACAACAAAGGTTTAAAATACAACGAGCCAATGAGAATTTGTCTTAATTGCGCGTGATCGACCTCAAGCGGGGGAAAACGCGTTTGACCAAGGCGCAGTTGGTTTAGTCTTGCGTGTTATTGATGTGAGAGCGGTGTGTGGCGTGATTTCTCTAGAACCCATCACAGAGCATGATGAAGCAACGCCAATGCAGTCTTGCGACACTTTCGACAGTCAGTTGGAAATTTTTCAAATTTAAAATGCCTCTTTTGATTTGACAAATGGAATCAACCGAGCACTTTTTTGACAGAACCCCCTCCAAGAGACTTTGGTTATCAAGTTTACGTGTCGCTGGAGCAATCCCAGGACACATCTCTTCCAATCAGTCCACTTATTACCGAGTCTTGCTACAGCATGTTGGGACTGGATGCGAGGTGAGTTTACGGGTCTTAACCCTTTAGCCCTCAAGAGTGACTAGCATCTAATTTCTCCTTACCATATCACCCCTGAATCACACTTGAAAGTCATGAGAATAGAGGAGTTGATCGCCAACTAAAGCAGCTCTTGATCGTTAAACAGATTCTCCTCGTCAGCCCCTTTGGAAATGTACGGAGAACAGTATGGAGAATATCCATACTGATGTTAAGGTGTAAAGGGCTCAAATGAGCTGTGTGTCAGAATTTTTTGTGTTTTCTTTTCTCTCTCTTTTGCCCTCCTCTGGGTTGTTTAACATTACTGTCGGTGGGAAAAAAATCTCGAAGTAATAGTTTTCAGTGTAAGTAAATTATAAAAGGGCAAGAATAAATCTTAAGAGACACGGACAGCTGGTAAAGGAGAAAATTAAATTGTGCTACGGATTAAAGAAAGACTAGGAAAAATTAGTATGAGCAAGAAACAAAATTACAAAAGAGGCACTAATGAATCATTAAAAAACAAGAATTATAAGGGATGGCGATTGATGCGGGTCGTAAATGAATTAAAAAATATTAGTTTCGTAAGATAGAAGAGCATGCACAAAATAGGCAGTAGCAAAGAATGGCTTAGGATGCACGGATTGTAAATGATTACGCAACATTAGTTCGCTAAGATAAAAAAATACAAAAGGCACAAGGATGGTTTCGTTTGGAGAAGATTGACACAGATTGCGAATTACGAACTTGAAAAGGTTACGATAAAACCATGGTAAGCCTTGAAGTAGATGAGACTGTGTCCAGGGAGGGGGGAGCCATAAATGTACCTTGGCGATATACATGTACCCCGCCACACAGAACGGATGAATGCTACTTAAGTAGTGCATCCAACAAAATCACATTAAAACTGATCACTAAAAATTTCATGAACGTGACTTAAAGCAGTTCGGTATCCCTCCTGAAAGGTATGGGTAACCCCTCCCCCTCACTCTGTCGAAGTGCGAGGGAGTAGCACGGATTGCCAATAAGTCAGCAGAAAAGGGAGAGTTGAGTTGGGGCGGAGTGACTTTCTCTTAAGCTGACCGTTACGAACCAACACCCGGTATCGCAGAGGTCATGAGTTCAAATCCCGTACGGGCCTGAATTTTTTTTTTAAGGTCCTATTTACAACTACTCGTTTCAGTAGTGTTCTTACACCAAAATATTTAAAAGATATGTTTCCCTTATGCTCTAGCTCCTATTTTAGTAGAGGACATAATATTTTCTCTTTGCCTAAACCATCTACCACTTCTTACGGCATCGATTTCTTCAGTCACATGGCAGAAAGATCGTGGTACTTTCTTCCTGTTATCTACTTATAACTTTGATGGGAACCAATAAGTAGAATTTCAATCATGTATTGCAGTATAAAGTACACTAATTAATGTGGCAAGTTAGTTGTTCAGGTAGTTTGTTATTTTACTCGTTTTATAGAATTGACTCGTAGTTGTATCAGTCATTAATGTAGTTAGCTCAAAGATATATCAGCATCTGTGTGCTACTCTGTAAATTCAAGGCAAAATATAGTTTATGTATATATGTAATAAGCTGCCGTTGTCGAAAATAATCCTCCTAGTCAGTATCAAAGGATATTTGAAGACAACAGTATGGAAAATTTGAATTCTAATGTTTGAGTGGAAAGGGTTCAGGTCATTTGTCAGGATTATGGAGGTTTCCGTCACTCTTATTGGATACTATTTCAGGACTATGATCCTCTCAGGTATAGCACCATAATGTCGATTGATTAACTCCCTTTGTTGCAGCATCAAGTACCAGCCGCTGAATGACAACAACAGTGAGGAGTTCCAAGCATCGTTTGTGCTGGAGTTTTGTAAGCCGTTACCAGCAGCGGTAGAGATCGTTCAGAAGATTCACGAAGTTATCAATAAAACAGGTACAAATTCAGTGGAGATACCTAATGAGGTGTACATAATATATAGATTAAGCCAAGCCTATAAGCGGAGCTCGCGTTTTTTTTCCTGCACGTCTCAAGGGCTTAATGCCTTGCCCCGGCCAGGACTAGAACCCGTGTCGTCCGACTCGGAGCCCAGTGCACTGACCACTGGACTACTGGACAAGGCCGTAGCGTTGGTGTGCCCGCGGTACAGTTGACCACGCATGTTAAAAGTAGCTCCTTGTACGGTCGTACGGTCGTACATCCAAAATTTTTTCGGCTTAATGGGTTACTACTATTTTGTATAATTATGGGGCTACGCTCTGCGAGCTCTGCTATGATGATGTTAAGACGATAGCTGTGAGGCTGAAATGTCTCACCCAGGAACACAGCACGACGACCACCTTTGAGTCGTCTCCAGTCTTCTCTCTATTTTAAGATATTAACGAGGGAAGTGCACGCGAGGTGCGCACAGAGAAAGATGGGAATGGAAAAAGGAAAGTCTCTCTTCTTTCTCTCCCTCTCTCTTCTTCCTTCCCTTCGTCCCATTTGTCGTAGTAGTGCAAGGCCCTCGCGACCGCACGTCCGCGTAGTTTAGGGACTTGTTAGCGGTGACCCGGCCAGGGTTGTGCACAGACCTCTAAATTTAGAGGTCAGCTCGCCGAGCGCTAATCTACCACATGGGCCCTCCTTTTACGCCCTAGGTTGGCTTTTCGAGGAACGGGATCCTTCACCCAAAGGTCTATTCGATGAATTTTCATATTCTAGAGATGATTGTTGAGAACTGAAGAGAGAAATTGAGGAACAGTGCAGCTACTTTGTTGAATATAAATACGCTTTTCTCTTCTCTTCTTTTGAAAGGTTCGTTTACCCATTCTTCAACGGTGCCAATTGACAGCCTTATAATAAGAGAGGTAAGAGCAGTTTGTGCCGCCATTAGACCAAAACAAAAAGAAACAAACAGACGAAACAAAACTCAAGAAAGTCTTTTTTTGTAGGTCGTTTATAACGATAAAAACAATACCTTGCTATAGCCTATGCGCGAAAATAAAGAACAAACGTAAGAAGTAAAAAGAGCACACCAATTCGTTCAAAAAATGTTCCCATCTTCACTTAAGGTCCCTAGATAGGTTAGAAGTAACGATTGTGTTTCACACACATTTTTTAACAGTTTTTGGATTTTGAGTACAGTTTCTTGATACAGTCAACTCTCTCATAAGCGGACAGTCATGGGGACTGGAAAAAAGTGTCTGTTGGTAAAGTAGTCCGTCTACGAGAATTATGCGCATAAGCGGACGCCAGCCGTTTACGGGAGAAACAAGAACGAAAGTAGACCATGGCGAATGCGGGCATAACGTGACTCTACAAGTGTTTTGTGATAGCGATGACAAAACCGATCGCCGCTGTTCTGTTGCTCAGTCAAAGGTCATATTTTTTTTATTTGCAAATTTTGTGTTGACAAATTTAATTACCAAGAGTCAATTATCATGCATAAGGTGTCCGCTTACGAGAGAGCGTACACAGAAGAAAAAATTCCAATCCTCACTTTTGTACAAGTGCCTGCGTCCGCTTACGAGAGAGTGTCTACTAACGGGAATGTGTAAATGAAGAGTTTGACAAGGAGACATCAAGGGGTATAAGGCAGAGACGTAGACACCTTTCATTGTCTAAAGATCTTTCCACAGTAGCTCGCGAGTTGACTAACCGCTTCCTTTGACGATGAAATGCTCCTCATATATTTTGTCATTATTTTATTATTATCTTGCAGTGGTTAAAAGATAGAGGCGTTTCATCAAGTGACCATGGGAATAATTATTACGCAGTAAGTGAGCAAATTTGTAGCTGTTTGAAATTTGCACAGGAAGTAATACGACCCGTGCCGTAGGGGAGGGGCGGGGGGTTTGGTAGGAAACAAAACAATCTGCGTTAAGGCCAGGAAATCAAACAACCTCTGCCAAGCGCCAGGAGATTTGTCATCTGTGAAAAGCGCAGAAAAAAACTTATATTCTCTGCCATCATCTGGCAATCATGTGAGCTTTGAATTTAAAGGAAAATACATGTTATCTCTCGGTGTGTTTTAATTTTTCCCCATTTCTCTCACGTTTCAGAGCTTACCACAGCATTACCACGTGTATCATGTCACAGAGAACCAATCATCAGCAGAGGAGCTAGTGCAGCCTTCTGGGATGGGTCTGTTGCTGTATAGGATCGGATTTACACACCCCAGTCATATCCCGGAAATAATACCGGTACGGTTTTGAGCACCTTAAACCTTGAAACCCTTTCCCCCTTCCCCTTCGCCCCCCCCCCCCCCCCCACCCCTCATACCTCCTCTTAAATCCCACTGTCTCCCTTCCGATCCCTCTTGGGATTAAATATAGCCTCTCAGGTAAATGTGAAGGTTGAGAGGGTGCAGTTTTTGTACTTGTACTTGGTGGAGATTCCATCTGGATGGTGTGGCTGTATGTGCAATTTTTATTAGAGCAGTTGCTAAAAACCTTTCTGACGTTAGGTGACGTCATTGCTGGAAGGGTATTTTCTTTAATGGACAGACAAACTCTGAGTTTATCTCTAATAAATTTGACGTTTTCAAGATGTTTATTTTTTGCTAGTTGGGAGCCGGTCATTATATCTCATTATTATATCGCCTTTATAGAGCCCCTTTACACGTTGTTAGTGACGATTTATCTCAAATAGCTGATTTTTTTTTCCTTCTCCAGTTGCTTCGACGTCAAGCCATGTTCAACACTCTATTCACGAGCGCATTAAGAAGCCACAAGCCACTCAAGAAAAGTAAGTGTTCAGATTTCGCGAGACGGTAAGCCTTTGAGGCTTTACACCCTTACATTAATACTCTTATTTTCACACTGTTGTCTTTACATTGCCTTTTGTACTGACAAAAAGAAATATTTTGGCAATCAGGAGCTTCTTAAATTGGTGATCATTCGGTTTATTCTCATGACCTTTACATTTGATTCGAGTGCAACTGTAAGGAGAAATTAGACGCCAGTCACTGTTAGGGGTTAAAGGGTTAAGTTGTAAATCGTATCTATCATATTTACATTTTTGTCACGCAGTTGCCTCTTTGGATGTGCTTGACCACTTGATTAAACATCTTTGTACTGGGTGTCGGTAGTAAGTTGATTTTATGTATTGATTTTACTTAGAAATTTGTCAAAAACATTCGTGCCAACTTTTCACCCACCTGATGGATAAATGAATTGGGTCTTGAGCAGGTCACTCGCGTTTTCCCGTGCTTCAGGCCTGTTTGCGCTCATTTAGTTTGAGTTCTCTTTTCCCCTTTGTCAAGTTTACCTTTTGCTGTGGCCATTGCCTTTAGCGTGCTTCTGGTTTTTCGACAGCTAGAGCACTTAAACCAAAACCAATATAATCACAACCGGCTATTAAAGGAAATGAAAATTCCTTTTAGAGCCAAGGACAACTCAAAGTGAAACCAACCCAACTGCCTAAAGCGCGGGAAAACGCGGGCAATCAAGTCAGCGCAGGAAAACGCGGGCAACTAAGTCAGCGCGGGAAAACGCGGGCAATCAAGTCAACGCGGAAAAACGCGGGTAACCAAGTCAACGCGGGAAAACGTGGGCAACCAAGTCAGCGTGGGAAAATGCGGGCAATCAAGTCAGCGTGGGAAAACGCGGGCAATCAAGTCCGCGTGAGAAAACGCGGGCAATCAAGTCCGCGTGAGAAAACGCGGGCAATCAAGTCAACGCGGGAAAACGCGGGCAACCAAGTCAGAGCGGGAAAACGCGGGCAACCAAGTCAGCGCGGGAAAACGCGAGCAACCAAGTCAGCGCGAAAAAACGCGGGCAACCAAGTCAGGATTGCTTTTAGTTCTGTATGTGACTGGTTGAAAGAGTGGCGCGAGTTTTCTAGACCAATCGTAGAGCGGAGTAATGCAAAACCATTGCAATCTCGGATTATTTTGGACACAATTGAAAATTTCCCTAATCTAAAATGTTCTCAATCAACTTTAAAAGTTAACAGTTCATGTATGCGTTTTTTTCTAGAACCCAACAGCGAAGACTACCTGTTTGAGTTAAGATCATCTGAGCCATTCACCTTAACAGTTACTTTTGAACATCCGTGTACATCCAGCATGGCGTCAAGTAAGTCCACGAACTAAAACTCCCCTTAAATACATTTTCAGGCTAACACCCAAACCCTTTACACCCTAACATCTCTATTCATATTCTCCATACTGTTTTCAGTACATTTCCCACGGTGCTGACGAGGAGAATTTGTTTAACAATCAAGAATCCTACTTCCCGTATTTCTTCACCTGTAAGCTGAGCGATTTTTACAGTATTTGACGCAAAAGTTTGGGAGATTTTTTCACGAGAAACAGGGTTCGTCCTATAGCCGATGTTGGGATTCAAAAAAAGTACAATTGCAATGTTAATGCGAAATGACCTTAAATTCCGTGACTGCAGCGTGTTTTAAAATTGTCAAGACAAAACGTATTTTTGACCACCAATCAGATTCTTTCCTTCCCACGCATTGAAAGACGATCTCACTTAACTCGACAAAACTCTTCACATTTCACATTACGGATGAAATATCTGGTCTCTCTGCTGAGAAAACCACTCCATCACTTTCTCGTCTAGTTCGGAATACTTGGGAGTGAAACGGCCCATATCTGCACGTTTTGCAGACATCTTAAGCTCGCCAGAAAGAATAGTCCCCTGGTCTCTTCTCCAGCGTCGCACCACAGACTCGCAAAGTCCATAAATCTTGGCTGTGACTAAAAGTAGAATGAGGACATGGGGAATGGACTCGGAGAGGTGGGATTCGGGGACGCGTGGAGACACGGGGACGTGATGAACAAACCTAATTTTTGCGCTGAATTTGTGAAGTATAATTTTCGGTGGTCTTGTATTCTTTTAGCCGTTGTTTACGAGGAGCAGCGTGCTTTTGGCGTGATGAGAAAAATAACAGCGACGAAAGAGATACTCGATTGAAACGCTTGTCAAGTTACAGTAACTGAGTATTGTTGTGTTTCTGCAGTCGCGTGGTAGTATTTACATCTTCACCGACTCGCTTTTTTCCATTTCCCAATGTTTTCCTTGAGGAAAATGACCGGTTACAATCAAGAATTTCGCTCTCGGCTTAGCCGATGGTTTTGCTTTTTTTTGGACAACACGAGTCTGTTGGAAGGTCTCTAACTTGTAGGGTCTCGGCTTATAAGTGAAGAAATACGGTAATGAATATGAAAGCCATATTAAGCAGTAGAGCAAATAAGGCCTCCAAAAAATTCAGGGATTTTGAACCCATGACTTCTGCGGTATCCGTGCATTGCTCTACCAACTGAGCTAAGAAGCCAACTGGGAGTTCGTCATTATGGTCGTTCATAATAAACTCGTGAAGTGATGAATAACTGACTGGGAGTACAGGCCTGAATGTTTTTCAGGCCTGATTTTCAATACTGCTTAAGTAGTGTTCATTACTGTGAAGATCACTTTCACTGAAGAAATGTAAAATGGTTTCCGTGTTTACATAGCCTGATGTAAACACTTGGGAGGTTGGGAGAACACGTATTAAGCGTAGGAAACCACGACGCGAAGCGGAGTAGTTTCCAGCTTATTTACATGTCATGCTCATGTAAAATGGTTTTATGGCCGATCAGAGCGCGCTTACTATTTGAATTATTTTATAAATTCATTTCTTAACCCGCAATTTGCATAAATGATTTTTCCTCCCACAAGAGAATGATCCTCTCTAAGAACAAACTAAATTGACCCTTAAAAGCACTTAAACCTGGACATGTAACCTGGCTTTTTGTTATTAACCTTTAGAGTACCATGCACCTCACAAGAACAAAGCTCCTCAATAATTCCGTTCAAAAGTTTTCACCGCTCTCCCCCTTTTTGATTCCAGTTGATTTTTTCGTCTCTGAGGATGACATGATCAAAGCTACCCTCACAACAGTGCCTGGAAAACCACTGTTCTGTTCGAATGATTACATTTCCAGAGTCACTCAGAGGTAAGAGAAAAGTAGATACATGATTCTTCAAGGTTTATACTTCACAGGAAAATTCCAACATGAGCGCTTTAAAACTACAGCCAAATGCGACTTTCCCGCGCTCAGGGCAGTTGACGTTATTTAATCCTTTACACCCTAATTTCTATACGTTTCTTTTGATACTGACGAGAGGAATTCGTTAAACAGTCAAAGCTTCTTAGGTTGGTGATCATTTCCTTTTTTCTCATGATCTTAATGAATAATTTAGCAGTATTATTGCGAGGAGAAATAAGATGTTGGTCACTCTTTAGGGATTAAAGGTTTGAGTCTTCATTGGCTCCAAGTGATATTTTGTTTTGTTCTGATTCACCGTTGAGATAACTTTGGTGATGGTTTTAAGGAGATTGAATGGAAATGAGCTGAAAATGCTAGTCGATATTTTGGACATTGAAGGGGCGTGCCAAATGGGGAAGGGGTGGGACAGTCTAAATGTCACGTAGACCCTCCCCTGCTTTATAGACATCACTGCTATTTTAGCATTGTTTTGAATTAAATGTTTCCCGTTATTTACAGGTGTCTCTCAATCCCAGCTGCGATGCGATGCATCATCAGAAAAGCACAAAGCGTCAAACTAGAGGAACTTCCGGTTAAGGCAAGCGAGGAACTACTTCTTCCTGTCGGTGGGGGGCAACCATCTACCAAGTTAGCAAGTCTGTCACTCCCTTCCAGTGCCGCTCTGTTCGGTGCGGCGGTTGGAACTCCGTCCAACCCCAACACGCCAGTGTTTCTGGGAACTTCACCGTCGTTTACAGGTTTTAACCTGGAAACACCCTCGCCGACTTTCAGTGCGTTCACGTTTTCTTCAATATCTCCTACGTTTTCTTTTAATACAACGGATATTACAGCCGCTGCGGCAGATTCTCTGACCACGACGGCCGCAAAACAACCCGAGAAGAAGCCTGAAGCCGCAAAAACACCGAACTTGAAGATAACTCTTAAACGAAAGCGAGACGATGAATATGTCATTGAGAACTTTCAATTGCCCGATGAAGTCCCAAAGAGCGCGGTAAGAACGCCAGTTGGGCAAACGCCATCGAAAAGCAAAGAAACGCCCGATCCGGAGTCAATGGAAGGAGACAACTTCCCTTTTGATCTCGCTGCTGTCTCCGGAGCTAACTTCACTATGGGGACCACATTCCCGGATGTAAGTGCTGGGTTAGATGGTTCAGTGGTCGTGGCTGCAGGTAGTTCCACCGCTGGTCAACATGTTGGTTTGGCGGGCGCAGACTCTTTAGCTGCTGCAAGCGGGCTAGGGATCGTTTCCGCGGGAATTGAGGGATTATCCGCCACCGCCGATTTGTTCGATATAGGGGGCGCCGGTGCTGACGGGACAGATTTAGAGGGGATTCTTCAGAATCTTTCTGGAGCATCTCATCTTCCACCAGGGATCGTGTCAGGTGCTACGGCTTTGGATTTTGAAACAGGATTAGGTACGATTACAATTGTTACTTCGATGTATGCGGTTGATGAAAACAAAACAAAACAACAAAAGTAGTCATTGTAGGAAGAAGCGCGCCGTATTTTGACTCCAAAGGATCGAGCCTTTTTTGCGAGCGCTATTTTGTTTTGCCCCAGTGGAATTCTGCGGTCAATCAGCGGTCGACACATACGTGGTGTAAAAGGTAGCTATAGGATCCACATGTCATTTCGCGTTGTGTTCACTAAATGTGTGCGTAAGTTCTCTATTTTAGATCTCCGTAAAATGCAAAAGCAAGTAAAATCTCTATGAAGATGACCTTTTCAAGAGTTAATCCAAGTGTTGCTATATTTGTTTCCCCTTCAGGAGCTGGAGTACCAGGACTGGACGTATCAGATCCTGGTTTCGACATCGACGCGGCCCTTGATGCCAGTGCTGTCGCAGACCCGAGTATTGCGGGCACTGCCGGTAAGTAAATCGCCAATCTTTCTGACGTGATATTCTTATCGGAAATGGAAACCTGCTTTGATGTTTTTCATCCGATGGAACTTGCTAAGCCATTTTTAATTTGAAAGCGAAAAAATGTATCCATTACCACAGATAAGGCCCTTGTGCTGGATACTGATATATTTCAACGTATTGTTCGCGCTAAGGAATGGAAGGATTAAATTTCAGTAGAGGCACTTTTAGAAGATGATTACATGTAAATCACGATTTTCATCCTCAGGAGCCTTTGATGTCGACTCCACGCTGGGCTTTGACCTCGATAATATCGCCGGTGTAGGAGGTCTCCCTCCTGAAGTTACAGGTGCAGCGGACCTGCTGGCCGTTAGTGGACTGAGCGGGAGTGACGTGTCCGTTGATATCGATATGCCTGGGACATCGCATTCGAAGATATGAGCTAGATTTGCGGACTTATTTTGAGACAGCTACCAGGCAACTCTTACGTGAAGCGCCTACAGGGTTGAATGCCGTCTGAGGTGCGATGATGGAGAGTAACAAATGTCAATGAGCGAAGACTGCGATCGAAGATCGAGCAGACACAGTTCTTACGCATTGGTCGTGCTCTCGAAACTTCCCAAGTGCTTCAAATATCGATGAACGCACACTGACGCATGAACCAATTGTTAAACAAAGGCTACATAAATGCCCCTATTTCAGTTACTCTAGGTTAAATGCTAAAAAGAACAATTTTTAATGAAGAGTCAAAAGTTTTCCGGAATGCATCGATTTTACTTTGCCCTCTGCCCAGTTTCACTCTCGCCAGCTCGTTCAATCGCTTTTTTGCGCGCTTAGGGTATTTGACGTATTTTTTTCTAGTTTTCATCGGCTGCTTGTGATACTAAACTTCGCTGTGATTGGCTGCTGTGATAACTTCGGTTTTGAGTTCTCGTTTTAGAACTTGCGAAATGCGCTGCTACTCTCAAAACCAAACAGCAATAATGTCACTGTAGACGAGTTTATTGACCCTGGGTTGCAAAGGTTTACAAGATATACAACACGAATGAAGGGTAGATACACAAAACAACAACTTTCACGGGTTTCACTCGATTTGTTAAAAAAGAGATGTCTCAGAAAAAATAGAAGAACATTTACAGACTGATTTGGTTTCTAAGTATAAATACAATAGTACAGATTAAATTTATGGTGCGACGTTTTAAAATGCTAAGTGTGCTTTATTAAACGTCCTTGCCACATGGCATCTGAACGCACTTTCTATCGAAAAACTCTTCCATGCCTTTGCTGCGTTTTATTTTGAATCGAAGTCGAAGAAAAAAAAAACATTTCAGAAACTCCTGGATGTTAAATTCTCTAGCTTAAAAAATTGCATGTGAACAGGTGTGCTATCGTATCGTACGGATTAGCTGCCATAAGATTTATTTTCAGTGGAAGGAAATATATTTTGTTGGAAGCCCTCTAAACTGTATCTGAGCTACATCCAATTTGAAATCGATCCAATTGGAACAACTAGCGAGATATCTAACAAACAACGACAATAAAAACAGCTTCTAAACAAATCCATTTTCCTCTAGTTCGCGTTCATCGATGTCTTCAACTTCATTGTCGCTGTCCTCGTCATCCTCGACTTCGTTACCATTCGCGTTGACTCCCTGATCTTCGTCATTGTTGTCGGCATCTCCGTAACTATCGTCGTCGTCGTCGGAGTCCCGCGAGTCACCCCTTTGTACTTGGTCTCGGTGAATTATAGCCCGTTCGTAGGCTTGCATGACAGATTTCCTCATGGACGTCTTCCGACCCTCCTGTAACTTGTTCTCGTCTCTCTCTCCGTGTTGGCCCAGTGGTTCAAGTTTGTGACGCGGTAGCCATTGCCTTAAGTCAGAAAAACCCAACTATGAATTCAATCGAATAATCGTGTAATCTGTGATCGAACTGATTCTCCTTCACTACGCTCTGTGATTGGTCTGGAAAACACGCACCCCTTTGATCTAACCAAATGCAAGAATTAACTTACCCAAGCCTTACTCAATTCACGATAAATAAAAGTCTTATGATGGACTAACATCCCATCCAGAGGGAAGAAGAAATACTTCAAGTCGCTTCATGTTAAGGGGACCGGGGTAAGCTCCAGCTAGATGGGACACTTGACTCGAGTACTGACTTTGTTTTTGGTAGACAAAAACAGATTTAATTTTTAGCGGGCTGTGTCAAATAAACTCACCCATCCCAGAGTGCGATGTAAACGGGAGATAACACTGGTATAGCAAGTAATATCGAATTTTTTCTTACGAGTCACACTTACGTAGGGATATTGCGCTTCGACTCATAACTCTTACCAAGTTCGCCTTGCGTCGAAAAACAGCACAAGATAGAGATGCTCGTCAGTAATAGCCCTCTCCTTCAACACATCTTCAGGTGGTACAGGAATAGGCACGCCATGGTGAAGGAAACCTTTCTTCGTTCGAGGATCTATTATCTATTGATGAAAGAATCAACGAAATGAGCCTGTAATACCGTTCACTACCACCGACCCTACCCTCACATCCATCATCACCACCCCTAAAGGTGAAATCGTCAGTTCTCCAGCCGAGAACTGTACAAAAGTCGGAAATTCCGACGAAGTGGAACAACGCAGAAAGTGATTTCTTAAATACATTTGATGCAAGAGCATGACAATAAATAAATAACGAAAATTACTTATAATGAAAATTAACAATAAAACATACCTAAAAAAGTTATGTTCGAATATATTTAAAATCATTCTCAAAACAGGCATTCACGAGGCTGTAAAAATTGAAATTGAAACTGAAGGGAACCTCAACAGAAGCTCTTGATTATTAAACAGCCTTATCAGTAACATGAGAATTGTCTATAGAACGGTGTAACGAATATACACACTGATGTTCAGGTGTGCTGGCAGTTCTCTATAATACTCGTACTAGCTTAAAAGAAAACGTGTTCAAGGCAGTCAGTAAAACGAAGCGCGATGGTGAAGAGTGCCACTTTCACCGCGCTTAGTTAGCTCATGTTTCACAGCACCGGATTACCGTGCGGGAGGTCGAGTTCAAGCCCCAGACTGGACCAACACTCAGGGACTTAAAATAACTCAGGAGAATGGGCTGTAAATGGTTCGTCATTCTAGACCTCTCGGATGAGGACGTCTCTTAAATTCCCTCTGTACTGGTTAGCAGGGGACGCTGAACAACCCATGCACTTCTCGCAAAGAGTAGGGAACGTAGCTCCTAGTGTTGTGGTCTGACGTCCTTTCATACACTCCTGGGCCAGGCTAAATATCCCGAATACGTACATACACAATAGCAGATTAGTGACGAGGGAGGCCTGGGTCAGGTTGCGTAATGACCCGACCCAAGCCTCCCCCCATTTTTTTACTCCTCCGCTCGGATTTACCAACTGAACGCCTGGAACAGGATACTAAACTCATCGCAATGTGACTCCCTTAAAAAATATAAGGACTGTAAAACTGCCTGAGGACAGTACTTACCAGCGCAGGATAGGATGGGTATCCTCGACACTTTGCCCAAACTAAATCCAGCGGTTGCAGAGGAGGGAGATCAGCAATCTCTGAATCGGACGTCGTCTTTCGAGGTCTTGCCGCGGGTTTCTTTTTCTTTCTCCCGTCTACTGGTCCGTTCATAACCCGATTTTCAGCAGAACTGTTTTCCGTATCGGTGCTCTGTTCATCATCTTCGGAAAATACCGACAACTTTCGACACAGTTCTCGGGAAGCGCGAGTGCCGTTCATTCTCACATTCTCGCTGATGTCCGACTCGGATCCGCTGGTGTACGACCGATACGATCGCTGCCGCAGACCATTCGCGCACGCAAAGTGGTTATGGCCTCTGTCGGACGGATGCGTGTCAAACATGGGCAGGGTAGCGTCTTCGATCAGCTTACCGAGTTCTGTTTTATAAGTTTTCTTGGGTACATAAAAAGTATCATTGTCTGTTGAGTGTCGTTTGTGAGGTCTCTTTTCCTCTTGGGGAGCTGGCTGATGTCTGTCCTCGAACACAGTATCTTCTTCACCGACTTCATCCGTATGCAAATTCTCAGTCACTTGGCACTCCGTGGCAACAGGATCAAGCGTTCTATCCGAGTCTGTTGTCTTTAACGCGTGATTCGCTGGTGGCAGAATATCGAAAGGGAACTTGTCGGCGCCCGACGAAAGATTCCTCCTGGCCCTGTGCCTTCCCTTGTTGAACAAGATTCCACTGCGCCGGCTCGTACCAGGACTAGGATTGGCAGTAGCTCTACTGTTAAGGAGACTGTCCCCTGCCAAACGATGGTCTTCAGTGTCCAGATTTTTGGTGGTCTGCGGGCCGTTCAGAGTGTCATTCTCGTCAATGGGTCTAAACTTCTTTAGTGGCTGTTCGTCTTCGAGTGGTGACAGACAGGTCTCGCTCAGGTTACATCCGTCCAGGCCACCAGCTATACACAACAACAAATACTAGATCAAAATTTAAAAATCCCTGTTCACCTTTCTATCACTTTTCTTAAGTATTTCCTCCAGGAAATTTTTCGCTTTAAATCAAATTTCAAAACCCTTGTGCCTAACTCGACAAAAGATACCGCTTGGGAAGAGAGACATCATTAAAACGTTCAAGTTCTTACAATTAGTTTGCCACAATAAAGCCCTGGCTAAAAAAAATAAAAAAGGAAAATCAAACACACTGGATACAAACTCTACGCAACAGATAAGACACCCTTGATGACCATTTATTTTTCTCTGATACAGTTACGATATCTTTGCCACGAATATTTTTTTATGAAATGCCAAAATTAACGCAGTCTAAACGTTCGACCCTTAACTCGCAAGATTTAATTGCGAATTCCCCGATCTAGCTGCTGCGCATTTCCTTAAATTAGCGTTAGATCAAAACAACAATTTCTACCAGATAAGTTTGAGTATTTTCATGACCTGTTTGCAGGTTAATGTATGGATATCATAGGGAAGAGTTACATGTTAATCACCTCTTGGGAGTAAAGAGTTCAAAGGATAAAATGATTGTTGTACAACCGAAACATAAATCCTAAAACAAAATGATAGTTGATGACAAGAAGCTTGCTCTGCGTCAACGAATAAACAACAGATAAGAAAATCACAAACCACTTGATTCTGAAAGATGTCTCTTCTCCTGGTTAAGTTTCCTCCTGACCAGAGCGATCTCTTTACGTAACATTCGAACCCTTGTAGCTCTGACTCCTGGGAAAAAAAAGAGATAGCTTATTTGTACTAAAAGTTTTAAAACTCTTTCCACAGTCATACAAAGAAAGTAATAAAGAAAAGTCTTATCTAACTTTCACTCAGCTATGCTCTGAAAAGAATCGCGAGGTGCTTGAACGCTCTTGTCAGAAATCTGGGGTATCTTGTTCCTCAAAAGCTTTCATAAAAGTAGAACAGGCGACCCAGACACATAAGCTGATCGCCTGCTAGTCACAGCCTTAGGCCCGTTTGTCCAAATGGCGGATAACACTAACCAACAGAATAATGCGCTATCCACCGGATTGGGATTTTTCAAGAGGATAGCATTACCCATCCTCCGAACAACCAGGTCATGAGCTATTACGTAAATGAGTGAGTTGCCACTGGTTTCTGGGGTCGCCTGGGAGCAAACACTGCAACAACATATCGCAAATCTGACCTCCATGTTTAATAGCCTGAGTCATGTCCAGTTTCTCCTGCAGATCTTTTAACTGCTCCTCCAGAGTCATGTCCCTCCTCTGCTCCTCTGTCAGGACGAAATCTAAACCAACCAAGAAAATGTTGTTAAGAACTCTATCATGCTACAAGTGCACCTAACTGCTATTAAAGGTTCACGATCTATACAATACATCGCGGTTGATGCAAAGTCCTAGACTCTCTTCTTGTTCCAATGAAACTGAAGTTTCAGTACCTGAACAAAAGGCGCACTGGTCGCGATCTGAAGTACCTCACAAACTACACATCTTCAGCCAGAGAAAAGATACGTTCAAGACATTTAACGTGAAGAGTAATGCTGTGTGGTAAGACATCAGCGTGAAACGAACCAATACGGGAATGTCATGCACCGCAAAAATGAAAAAAATTGAAAGAAGCTTTGTAGCATGCGTAGATCACGACTAAAAAAGTGGCAAAGGCTGGGTAAAGAAATGCGTTGAAGAGCTGCTCGATATTTTCGCAAAGGATGATAATTTAGAGCCACAGGCCCTTTGTAGTTATGTTGACGGGCATGTAGAGAATGAGGAGAAGCCCCCTGATGTGATTACCGCAAATAAAACGTTACTTCCTATTGCACCTGTAAGTAAAATATTGCATTGAGGTAATGATTGAGAAATTCCAAGGGGTAAAAACTCATTAAGCTTTGCGTGGAAGGAGGTCTGTCATTTTAATTACTGCTGAATGTGCAAAAATCCATCTGGGCATAATTTGTAAGGAAGAAAAATCTACTCCTTAAAGTGCTGTCATGTTCTTTTCGACACCACTTGCTGCTACTAGAAAGTAGTCATCATCATCATCAACACCGTCACCAACATCATCATCTGCAGCATCCAAAAAATCAACATAATTCTCCACAAAGTAAACATTGTACATTGTACATTGTACATTGCATAAGATGCCATGATTTTTGCTGGTATGTCAACCACTTTATCCAACTCCATTGCTGTTTGGTGCTTTCGAAACATTGTTTTCAACATCCTCAAACTTTTATGTATAACCACTCTTGTGAAAATAAAGCGTTTTATAATAATAATAATAATAATAATAATAATAATAATAACAATAATTATTATTATTATTATCATTATTAGTTTCTTTATAGTTATCATCGTCATCATAATCACCACTATTGTTGTTATCATTATTTTTATTACTATTATCACTTCTATTAACTATTTTTTCAATACCTTCTTCAGTAGGTTCCCTATCTGCCAGTGTTGGTGGCTCCTCTGTATGAAGACCTGTTACTGGGTCTATACCAGCCCGCTCCACTTGCCGCCTGGCGGCACGTACAATGGGACGTCCTTGATCTCGCATTTTGAGCGCTGCACGGTAGTAAATGGTGTCTGGAGCATTATATCTTAAACAATTGCCGATGACCAGATTGAAATCTCGTTCAAACTGCTCCATTGTGGTGTAGTGATTGTCATCAATACGCTTTGATATTGTCGAGAAGTCCATAGGTTCATCTATAACTTCCAGGTAGTCAGTGACCTAAGGATTGAAGAAAACTTAGCAATGCCACTCACACGAACCTTACAGTATTTCTAATCCTTGCAGTATGCAGGATATTTGTCAGAAATGATTCTAGTAATTGTCTACCTCACCAAAGAATTTCCTGTTACTTAGAGGTGGAGCATAGATTGTTATGAAGACTGAGAGTTTTTTTCTCTGTCTAATGTTAACGACAAGATGGATAACGCATATTCCTTTAATACCAAGATTGTATGAAAATCCTTCACAGCAGACCTGCCTCTTAGATTTGATAAGTACATCTCCTTTCAAGAGCCAAATATTTCCTTGTGAAATCAATTAACCTTTTAACTACCACTATTGACCAAGACAGAATTTCTCCTTGCAATATCTATACAAAATCCTGCAAGCAAGTGATGAGAATGAAGAAAAATACCTATCAACCCTTTAACTCCTATGAGTGACCAAGACAGAATTTCTCCTCACAATATCAATACAATATCAACCAGTTAAGCAATGAGAACAAGAAAAACATCAATTTGGGGATAATTACTTGATCCAATACTTAATTCTCTGAATTAGCATTATAGGAATTGTATGGTTGACAGTAAGGAGAATGAAACATTTGATCTGGGAGTTAAAGGGTTAAGGGATAATAAGTTGATCAAATACCAAATTCTCAAAACAAATTTAATGAGATCTTAGGAGTAAAAGGGTTAAGAAAATGGGCATAGTATCAAAACAGGAACCGGGATGGAGCCTTGAGAATGGCTTCTGTACAGAATTTATTGAAGGAATTTCAATTATTGCACAATTTTTATCAGCAATTAAATATAAATTAGGTAAGTAAAGCTTGCTGAAGATGGCAGACCAGCCAGCGATTTTGACTGGCCACTGGCTCCTATTGAATGCCGGGTGGGGAAATTTGCACAACAGGGAGTCAAACTGGGTATACAAGAAAATACTGTGAAGTGAAGCATTTCATTTATTTGTTTCCTGATTCTGTGTCCATACCTCATCAGTATCAACAGGCTCAGCAAAGATTTCTCCAGGATCTTTTGTCTGCAAGAGCTCCAGGGTTTTCCTGAGAACAATGTTCAGTGGCTGCAACTGCAGGTCCACCACGTGCTGTTTGACTTTCACCTGATCAGTCAGGAGATAGAAATATTTAAAATAAAATGTTATTTTATGGTTTGTAAGGGTCTGCTTGTCATGTTGATTATCAAAACTGCTGAGCTTATTCCTGTATGGGTCTACATGTAGACCTTTTTGCAAGGTGATTTTATGATTATTCCAACTGCTCATGTATTTCTGCATTTCTCAGAGCTCCACTTTGGTTTCCTCAGTGAGTGAAAAATATATTTGGTGACTTAACTCTGGAGAAAAGTTGCCAATTGGCAACCAACAGGTTTGAAAAAAAAATTATCCAAAGCAATCAACATTTTTTTAATGGCTTCATTAAAACAAAAAATGAAATAGGAGCCCTTTTTCTTTGTTTGTAAGTTCCCTAACCCTTTAACTCCCAAGATCTCATTAGTAATTCTCCTTACTGTCTGCCATATAGTTCTTGTGATGTTAGTTTGAAGAATTTGGTAATGGATCAACTAATCATCCCCTAATCAAGATTTTTCTTTATTCTCATCCCTTGTCTGCATGATATTGTATTAATATTGTAAGGAGAAGTTCTGTCTTGGTCACTCATGGGAGTTAAAGGGCTATACATCAGAAATCAAATGGAGTGCTGTATACAAATTTAAGAAATTTCCAATAATAAAAACCTTTTTTCTGGACTAAGCATTATGAGTAAAACCTGGCCAGAGTTTTCTGAACCCTTTTCCCAAGACCAAATATTGGCAACATAGAAGATTACTGGAATAACTAATTTTGATCCAGAGATTGAGAAAACAAGGCTGAAGTATATAAAAGAACCTACAAGCCACAGGGAACCTACTTTTACCTGAGGGTAACTAACAGTTTAAAAATGTCTGGACACCCTGACTTCTAAGACCAAATACATGTACTTCTGGCAATGATTTCCATAAGAGGGATTATGGCTTTTCATGCAGAACTGGTATGAAACCCTGGAGAAACTTACTTGTTCCCGTTTAAGCTTCTCTCTCTTTCTGATCAACTCCACCAACAAACGTGCTCTCTCCAAGTCATGCCGCAGTCGTTGCCAGAAGTGTAGCTGCTCTTTCATAGCTTTGATCCTCAGTGACCTTTCGCTTGACTGGGGAGAAAATTCAAAGCATTTAGCAATGAAGATTGTTAAATTCTCCAAAATCAGAATAAAAAATCTGTACCAGAAATACTAATAGGAACTACATACTTCATCAGCACCAGCTTTCTGACTTTGATGGCTGGCCTGAAGTCTTCTCAACAGTGGAACTCCATTCCTGGACTGTCGTTTCAACATCCAATAGCTTTGAAGACTCTGAATAAACTGAGCCTTTCGTGCCATGGCAACTCGTCCCACAATCTTACTGAGTCTGAAGGTAATGCAAAAAAAAAACAAAAAAACAAAAAAAAAACCAAGAACCATTAGTATTAACCCCTCACACCCTCACAGTGGTATGCATATTCTCCTTGCTGTTCTCTAGAAATTTCCTTTGATGCTGATGTGGAGCATTTGCTTGACCCTTTAACTCCCAAGATCTCATCAGTAATTCTCCTCACTGTCTACCATATAGTTTTTGCAAGGTTAGCTTGGAGAATTTGGTATTGGATCAACTAATAATCTCCTAATTGACATTTTTCTTTATTCTCATCACTTGTCTGCCTGATATTGTATTAATATTGTAAGGAGAAATTCTGTCTTGGTCACTAATGGGAGTTAGAGGGTTCACAATCAAGGGTTTCTTAAGTTAGTGATCATATCCTTATTCCCATGACATTAATGTGTGATTCAGGGGTGATATTGTGAGGAGAAAATGGATACGAGTCACTCTTTGAGGTTAAAGGGTTAAGAGTGTCATTAAAATCCCTAACACAAATACTAACTGAAAAGAACTTAAAAAATTTCAAACTTTTCAATAATAATTATCTAGTGAAAAATAATAGTACAATATTACCATTAATTGATAGAAACTATTCACTGTTGAAAACTTTCATTTAAGGAAAGTCAAAAACAGTAAATTTGTTACCTACTGTGGATAGTGACTGCACAAATTTTCACAAACAAAGTTTTTAATCATGACTTAAATAAGAAAGAAATACTTTAGATCAAATAGATCCAGAGTAAAATATTCATTATCAGTCTAAGTTCCACACTAGGGGGCTGATATTAGATGCATAATTGTTGTTTTGGACCGAAAAATTTCCATAACAACGAACAAAAGTGGTGCACATATTGTTAATGACTGCAAGACAGCTGTACTTGATATGTTGTTTTAAAGGCAACCTGCTCCTCTGACAAAATTCCCACTCAAAAATGACAACCTTCAGACAAATTGCTGGTGCAATAGTTAAAAAATTCATGAACACCTATTCAGTAAGAATCATTATGCCTTGTAACCTGAGATTTGAATGAATTATTAACTATTATCAGTTGGAAGCCCCATTTAATGAAGTGTGCAAAACTTTATATTCACAATAAAAAAAATTTATATATGCATACATGTGTATATAAATCATATGGGGCAAATATAATCTGAACAGTCTAAATGAAAACTAAACCAGTATGTGAAATACTCATGCAGTATGATCATTGGTTGTGTTCTTCATTACAGTTGATTATAAACTGGTGATACACTCCAAAGCCATTTGCTTTAACATTTTCCTACTTTTGTGTTGCCAAAACAAGGTACAGAAAATGAAAGCTACAGTAAATTAAGTCAAATTAAACAAAAATTCTTATCAATACAGGTGTCCAATCTGATCGATTATAGAGCTTAATGCCTAGTGTGGGTGACTTTTTCCTTATTCAACATGGTCATCACCACAGACAGAAGAAAAGGTAAAATAAACAGTCATGTTCCCAAAGCTTTTCCACGCACATGCAAGACAAAGCCAAAATCTATATGTATATTTTTCTAAGCAGCTTGAAAAAAAACCTGGTCTTTTACTGCAGTAATTCAAAGAATGATTCTCATTCAACATGAAAATAAAAAATAAAAATAAATAAAAAACTATGGCAGTAGTAGATCATCAATAGTTGCTACGCAACAGCTGTGTTGAATTACAACTTTCAAAAGAAAATTTCAGATTTCTGTGATTACATTTTCACACATCTATTAGGTGTCAGAACATTACATAGGAAACTTACCTGTGAGCTGGTATAAAAGGAATATTAACAATCGGAACTGCAGTGGTTTTCTTCTCTGCCAAAAGTTTCCTAAACTTTTTGATGCTGCGTTTGGACTTTGCTGATTTTGCAGACTTGCTGGTTATTTTTGCAGGAGTCTTGCTTGGGGTCTTGCTCTTAGAAATGTTTGTTTTTTCTTTAATTTCATCTTCGCTGTTCTCCTCCTCTCTTCCTGCTTCAGAGTTTGTTGGTGTGTGAACATCACAAAAAGCTGTCTTTCGGACCGTCACTTGACCATTCTCACCTTTTACAGGTTCAATTTTCATGTACAAGCCTGCTTGTTGTGCACATGTAACATGAAATGCTGTATAGCAGTTTGTTTTGAAACACTGGATGCATGCACCATGTCTACGCTTGCAAATGTAACAAGTGAGCTTCCAGCGAGCTTGAGGAATATTTTCAATTGAGTCTATAGGTTCCAAGAAAACTGTGTTTGCAAAACAAACCTCTGGTATCCACAATGCACATACAACATGCCCCCATTTTCCAGTGTCTGTCTGTTTAAAAGCACCAGTCTTGTTTGGGCACAGAACACAGTCCACAGCTCTAGATGGTGACTGCAGACATCGACGACACAGCCACTGTCCCTCGGGAATGTAAGGCACACCATAACATTCTTGATGGACGGCTAAGTTACACATGTCACAAAACAGGATTGCGTTACTGTTTTGACACTCTCCATCGTTACAAATACAACACACAGCATCTTCATCGATGTACTGGTTTGGATCACAGTTAGTTTGACTTTCGAAGTAAGACTCTTTTTCCAACCTGTCCATAAGAGTTTCAAATATTTCTTGAGAGACCGGCGCGATTCCTTCAGCTTTTCGCTTGTCGTTAATTGTATCTAACCAAACATAGTCTTCTTCATCCATATCATATTCAACCATTTCGTCTAGTTCTTCCGTGGTCTGCTCAATAAATCGGAAGTAAGCGGTAGGTCTCGTAGGTGCATCGGGTTGCCTGAATCCTGATTCCATTTTCTCACTGTACTCCGCACTCGGCAAGCTTATTCTGTTATTGTTCTCGTTTGACTGTTCATTCTTCGATTTTGAACTGGTAAGCGGCTTGATCAGCATTGTTTCAAAAGCATCCTCTGGTTTTTCTGGCTCCGGTTGAGAAATTTCCTCACTATCCACAACATCCAATTGATCATTTATGTGGATTCTATGAGGAAAACCTTCGATTTCCACCTCAACAATTTTCTGCGCTTGAGCGTAAGTTAGCGTCTCTCTCGGAACACTTAGCGTCGGTGGCGATGGCGGCGGTTTCTTGTTTTTAACACTTTTTCTACCTCGACCTTTTCCCTTTTTCGAAGTAGTCGGCGTAGTTCCTACAACATCAGTGCCATCGTGTTTAAAAACACGCAAATGATATTCTATTCCACTATAACTCTTGTAAATCTTCTGGCAAAGAGGACATTCGTACGGCGGTTTAGTCGCCCGAAGGTTGTCGATAAGTTCTCTCACGTTTACCATGGTTCGTCCGTTATATCAAAACATAATTCGCCGAGACGAAAACGTTAAGGAGAAGTCTTGAGGTATATTAACTATTCTTCCACAAAAGACGCTTACAGCGGTATTTCTTGTTCGTAAAGAAGGCCCGCACGCTAACATTCAAATGCCAAGTTTTCAAAAGTGAAGTCCTCCAATTTCGTCGCACGATTTAAACCTCTGGTCTTGTGAAATGTGTATTTTTCCTCCCGTATAAAAGACGTCTTCTCAACCACACAGAAAAGGCAGCGATTTCGAAATGCAGTGAACTACGAAGCAATCTGACCACACCAAGCCCGTTCGTTAAAATGGCGACACCGAACACGACAGCGTTGGGTGAATTTGCTTTGCCGTTAAAACAGTGAAACCCAAAATGGAATCAACACTGGCGAGGAAAATTTTCTTGCCGATGTTTTCTAGTAAAAATCATCCACTTAGATCGTAGATCTTCTTTCGATCCAAATGCAATTGTTTTCATACCAACACGGCAACGGTATGAACTAAATCCGGCTTCGTGAACAATAGCCAAGCGATGATGGCGTACTAGATAACTGGAGTTGTTGAATTTCTCAAAGTTCATCCGACGTAAAACCACTTAAAACCACTCTGTACGCCTACTTTCGAAACGTAAACAGAAGCGCTTGGTATCGTTCTAAATATTTCGTGGAGAGCAGACCTTCTGTATCCAAAGCTAAGCCGTTTCTCGTCTGTTAAATGAACCCGCCTTCGAAATAAACGCTTTCACTACTCCACCGGCAGTACGAAGACAAAGGAAGGCATTCAGAAGAAAAAATCTCTGTGTTCCACGTTGGTTATTGGCGAAAGCTCAACTAAGTGGCTAGATGAGGTCTCCTCCTTAAACTTCTGATTTTCTAAGATCCCTAGAAACAAAAAACGAAGCCGTAAATGAGAACCAACTTTCAGAAAGTTAAATTCGAAACGAAGAAGATGGCGCCAGTTACTCTCGTGGATAGATTCGCCCCTGATATTTTCCCGCCACGCAGGGACGCCCCCGCAGATTATGTAACTTTTAATTTTGGCAAAACATGCGACCTGTCTTATCCGATCTTGGAAAAATACCGATTAATTACCGCCTAAAGGACACTTAGCTCGGCAGAATATGATAAGAACATTTTATTTTCAATCGGATATGATTCCAGCACACGAACACTTAAAATTAGCATGGTTTTGATCATATATCATTGGTCTTTTCATTTCAGCTGATGCGATCGAAAACACCTAATCCATTTATCTTCTCAAACTGAAGTATTTTAAACGTATAGAGAGGATTTCTTTACAAAGATAGTTTTGATTAACTCATAAAAATTCCTCCAAATCGTCTTGCCTTCCTGGGAGAAAAGTCTATGTTCGTTTAGATTATCAACCCAACCATCGACGAAAACAATAGAAAAGTTACAAATCTTGTGAGAAGTCCTATCTGCTATTAGACATTGGATTGAAGAATATCTTAAGCTGATATTCAATTTGGAATTATGGTCGAAAGGTACCTTTTTTCTCGAGAACAGTTTTCCGAGCAGCATTTAATAACTTTTACAAGCATCGGTGGTTCTATGAAAGAGCAGAGCTACCGAAATAAACGTGTCTGAAAATTTTCTTGGGAGGAAAATGTCCTGATGCACTGAATTTCACGGCTACAGGAAGGAGAACACAGAATTCAGTTTTCAAGTTCATTTTCCAGTTCATGGTCAAATGATAGATTTACATAAAAGTTATAAATGTAGGAGTACATCGATGAAAACAGATAAATTACAAGGAAAAATGCTGATAATAATAAATAAATAAATAAAAACGCTCGCGTCGCTGGACCGTAGTCGCAGACCAAACCGGATGAGATAATTGTGAAAAAGTTTATAATGCGTTTATCAATGGAAATTATCTCTTATTCTGGCGGCATTTTGACTCGAGAACTAGCTTGCCAAGATTTGTTATTTTCACAGTCCAGCTTGAGACAAACTGGCACCAATTTGCAGTTTTTTTAGTGCGATCCCGCGGGTCTCAATGCATAGAAAACGCAAGTTTGTACCGTCTTGTGTTTTATTGACATTCATTTATTTACAACACAAGTGGTTGAAAAAAAGTTTTCACTTGGATCAGTGAGGCCGTTATAAGGTTCAGATTTAGCTTTCCCAATGTAACTAATGACACAAACCAAAAATTAAAAATTTGTTTCGCGGGTTCAGTCACGCGTACTTGGGAATCTGTTGGACAAGAAGGCGTCCGAGCAAAGATACGCGCCTGTGGAGGGGATTCCCCCAAAGCCAATTAAATAAAATAGCGTCTTTTTTCTTGGCGAAACCAACGTCGGCGATCGAAATTACAAACGGAAGGAACAAATCTCTTAATTTCACAATCCCAGGAAATACGGCGTCAAAACATCTTGTTTTTTTTTAATTGACTAGACTGTGCTATTTCCTGGTTCGCTGCTCGTTCAGATATATTAATCTTTCGCGGCAGACGTGTTTACCGAGCCTGCAGTTACAGCGGGATGTTGCCAGGTAACGGTGACATATCTCGTCGCCAACTCGTCGTCCTGTTCTTTCTTCCTTTCTTTATCGTGGGACATTTTTTTATTACTATTAATTGTCGTTGATCTTGATCATTGCGAAGTAAACGCCTTTCCGCTTCGCCGAAAACTGAATTTTCCGCTGCTCTTCGTCTGTTTCAGTTGTTCCTCAGCAAGAAGTAACTTTCTTGTTGGCAGAAATCATAAACCGCCTCTCCCTTGCATAGCTCATTGATACAAAGATAATTCTAGTGAAAAAGGGGGGAAGGGAATGACTGAATGAATCTTCGTGCACATTTCTCTCAAGAACCGAACAAGTTAGCAAACTTTACTAGTCATTCCCAGCAACGGAAGTACATTAAAAATTCGATCCAGCGAAACGTTCAGAGGTGACACAATGCTGAAAATTATGGAACGAAATTTTCATTATACTTAACATGATAATTGAAAATGATGGCCCTAAAACTCCTTCCCTCCCATCCCTTCCCCCCCCCCTCCCTATTCGACCACCAGCGGGTAAAATTTGCTTGGAATAAAATGCTCACCGAGGTCCTAAAAATCATTTTTATGGATCAGATTCCTAACGTGGAAGAAAGGAATGGAGGCTCACTTGTGACAATACTTAGGCTCTAAAATTTATCCCTTGATAAACTGCATCATCAATATATGTTTAAGACGTTTAGCCACGACGCCGACATCGTGTTCGATGCTCCGACTATAGCATTGTACTCAAATTGATGCTGGCATAATTTATCCGACCCTACACCTGAGATGTTCAGAGATCGGTGTGATTTTCTTACTTTTGTTCATTGCAGGTTCTCTGTCTTCCGCACATTTATTAGTTGAGAGAATTTAGCTCTAAACTACAAAATGTTTTCTGATTGATAATTTTCTTTCTTCCCACTGGTTATCAAAGTGTTGATACTGTGGGGCGACGTCATTTATGAATCACTCTTGGGGGTAAAGTAATTCCACCCACAAAGACAAAGGATATCAAAATCTTCGTAAAACCGAGGCGAGAAATGAGAACACTAACAGCACCGAATATAAATAAATGGACCGTTGGACTCAGCTGCAGTAGAGTAAAACAAGTGAATGAAAATTCACTCAAACACCAAGGGGAAGAAAACTTTCCAAATGAGTTGCAAGGGGTCTGGGGGATACTTGGCCGAACAGGCTGAGAGGGGGAGGGGGGGTTACAAAACATCAAGCAAGAACATCGGATCATGACATTCATTTAAACTTGTTAATATTTATTTCATGCAGAACTATGACAGATTTAATATAAGTCTTAATCAATTAAATTTCTTTCCTTTTGCTTTGGACACAAGTTAAAGTGGGCAAAATCTAAACTGACAGTATACGAATAATAACTTGATACTTGACACAAAGATTTCCGAAAAAGTTTTGAGTCTTCCAACTTTCTTTTTTTTTCCTCCTTTTCTAATTGTAACCATTTCCAGCCTTCATATTTTGTCACCATTTCATTCTCCCATCACACGTTCACTCTCACGATCGTATTAGTTATTCTCCTTACTGTCTGTCATACAATTCCTACGATGATAGTTTGGAGAATTTGGTATTGGATCAACTAATGAGTCCTGATTTATTTTTTTATCATTACCTTGTCTGCTTGATATTGTTTTGACACTGTAAAGAGAAATTCTGTCTTCGTCACTTGTGCGTGTTAAAAGGATAACTAAAGTGTTCAGAGCTTTCAGTCCATCCCCTACTGCAATTTATAGAAGTACATAGAGTATATTAAAAGCTGGAAAAAAAGATCCTCGACACCCAATATCTCTGCACGCATCAGATAAGACAACAATCTAAACTTGACATTAATTTTTCAGAAATCTTTAGAAATCGCCGTGACTTCTCGCTTCGAAAACCTTAAGCTGGTTTTCAAGACTGTTAATTACAAAGCTTGAAGTAAACATTACTGTTGTATTAGCCAGGTCCAAACGCACAGAAAAAAAATTATCCCACGGCAGATAACACCACCTCGCTAACTACAGGATCGTCACTACGAACAGTTATGTTCATAGTCACTCCCTGGTCGAACGCCAGACGGGCTCGCACTAAGACGTCGTGGCCTCCCCGGAACACTCCCGCTAATAACAAGGCGTGTGAATTCTTCTCAGTGTTAACCTTGTCGGAGCGTTCACACGGCTGCATGCCGAGGTAGTCGATAATCTGTTTGACAGCCTCTGTTGATATAATGAACGGCAAAAGATATTGAGTCTTGTTAGCATAAATAATTAAAGGCTATGGGGGGGGGGGGGGGGGGGGAGGACGAACTAACCGGCAAGTTCAGCGACCGTGACTTTTTTAAAGACCTTTTCCTCTGAGCCATCTGCTTGCGAAAGTGGACTTATTAACTTTAAACACTTCCACAGCAAACGTTGAAACACTTGTATTTCTCTGGAAAGACTTAGACAGTTCCGGAGGAAATCCTTCATCCCACATAAGCAAGGTTCAAATTCCCCACCCCCCGGGCAGCACGGAGGACAGTCAAATGCCCATGGGTTACTCGGGGCGGGGGTATGTTGAAGCTGTAAATTGGACAAGCGTCTTTCGAATCAAGGGGGGTGCGGGCATCAGAGAAGGTTGAATTACATCACATCATTTCCGAAGCGATCTCTAGAATAACACCGCGAGACGATCGAAAACGGTTGATCAATTTTGCTTTTTCAAGTCAGGTTTTCAAACACTACTTTAAGCACACAGAGGGGAAACAGAAGGATTGAGAACTCTACCTTCCAAACTGGCCATCTGAGTCAAAGCATAAGTGTCCTGCATCTCACACTCGTCACCAATCTCATCCCATGAGGCCAAGAAGTTTGTCTTGTGCACGCGCTGCACGTGATCTGCCACGAGCACATCTATGTCTTCAAGCTGGGGGGAGGGGTAAGGTAAACATTGTTACAACAACATTTTAAGTTGACAATGGACCCGTGTCATTTAAGATAGACAAATGATTATAGTACCTAAAAGGGAAAAACTTACTATTTCCCAAAAAGCATAAATTTTGCCTGGAAATAGAAAGGTTATTTCTTCAAGTGTCTTCTCTGTTATGTACAAGATGTAGAGAAAAAAAAGGGCAATTTGAAAACAAATAGACTTTACGGTGGCCGTGTTGGAACTTGGTAGCCAGCAACTGCACTTAACTCCAGTATGGCATGTGAATCAAAACTGAGCAAATAAATGAAGAAAAAACTGATAGAGGGTGGGGAAATAGCGCCTGGAGCCTGTGCCATTGACACACCAAAGTAGCAATCTTCGCAGCCGATGAGGTTCCCCGATTTCGTACTAAGAAAACTTTCATACATCAAAAAAAGAAAAGAGTGAAAAAAGGGAAAAATTTCAGTCCAACACATACCACATATTCGTCCTCGTATCCTTCTTCATCCGGTTCACCTGTGCTTGGAT